AATAAAGCAGTTTAATATTACATCTCTGTATTGAAAATAACTAAAAGCAGAACTGAAATTTTTTGAGGATTTAGCATTATCTTAAAATTATGGTTAGTGTTTGTGAAAATATATTCATCCAATTTCAGAATAACAAATAAATAATGGGCTTTTGGTTTGCCTAGTTTGCTTCAGCGGCTATAATTACTGTCAGAATGGTCATAATTTAGAAAAATTCAAAAATCATAATCATTAGTCATTAAAAAAAAGAATGAAATAAACTTATCCAAAGAATATATTATAAAGATTAGATTATATTTGACACTAATCGCATGCATGAGACGTATTACTTTATGTATCCTTGTAGTCCCCCCTAAATTATGTATATACATTTTTAAGACTGAGCTCCTTAACCTTTGAAATATAATTGCATCGATTTTTTTTAGGGATGTACCGACTAGTGGCCGACCGGTCGGATAAGCCGACTATTCGGCCGTTTTTCATCGTCGGCTGCAATGGTCGGCTGGCAGTCGGCGACTGGTCGGCAAAACAGCCGATCGGTCGGCTTTTTTTATTAAAATTAAAATAGTATATAAAACAATTAAACCCGGTTTACAGAACCTCAATTAAATATTTAATTGCGATTTAATTTTTAACACCGCGTTAAAGTACCATGTGCCCGACTCTACGCCAATCAGACGTCGCTAATGGCCTTGTTAAATGCGCGATCAACTTAATCTCAGTTAAAATATTGTATAAACTGGCCCTAAATTGTGTTATTCTTTATTTTTGTACTCAGTTATTACAAAAAAATTAAATGTTAAAATTATCCAAACAAATTTAATACATTTTTTGGAAAACAAAGGAACTTTAGTTATTCCTTTTATTAAAATAAAACAAATTTTTAAGGTAGTCAGAGAAATAGAAAAAAAAACATACTTTCTGTCGCATTTATAAACCGGTTTTAGCAAAGCCGAACAGTCGGCCGACTAGTCGGTTTTTACTGGCCGAACAATCGGCTAGTCGGTTAGTCGGCCAGATCTACAGTCGGTACATCTCTAATTTTTATGTATTGAATGCATAAGTGAGAATAGAACAAAGTTGTTTTTATTAATGTTGTGGTGTCCCAGTCTGAATTCAAATTTCGCGCTGATAAAACAAACAACGCCGCGAAACCGCATCTGAATAACTTGAATTTGAAAAATAAATTAAGAAAATCGTTAAACATAGGTAACATTGGTAACTCGTCTATGGAATTAGTGAATGTCAGTCGTTCAGTTGGTAGTAGTGAGCAATTGGTAATAGTAATTAAGGCATGTTTTGGTGTTGATGCGTCTTTTGTTGTTTATTTGGTGGAAGTACAACCACGTGATGAGCATTAAGGGTAGCTAGGTTAAGTTTAATTTGTAGTTTTAATAAAATAGCCATTGTTTAAATGAAAATGAATCGTATCGTCGACTACGCCACAGTTTCCCCCACAAGCGTTATTAATTATTAATGGTTTTCTAATGGGAAATGTCTGAATTTTTGACGATGTCGTGGACACGTGGTGTTAATTTTTGTTTATTGTTTGTAAATTCATAGTTCACATAAGATCTTTAGCTGTTCCTGGTTCCAGTCAAATTTAATAGTCACGAAATAGTTCAGGTAAACCACGTGTTAGAAAATTCACTTATTTAGGCTTCATCCTTTTGTTTATCAAGTTATAACTAAAGTTTCTGGATGTTTTTACTTCCCGAGCGTAAGCAAAGGAAGTATTGTAATCGAGTCCATCGGCCGACTCTCTACTTTTACGTTTTCTCAATCTTTCATGACCCCTAGAAGACGAAGAAATAGGTCTGCCATTTCCGTCTGTCTGTCTGTCTATCTGTCTGTCCGTCTGTCCGTCAGTCCGTCTGTTTGCCGTCCAGGATTTTTATTAGACAGATAATCTCCGAAAATACTGGACAGATTGTTGTGAAATTTTGTACTTATATTAGGAATGATGGTAATGATTATTAGATGGTAAAACGCTAACCAAAATTTGTCTAATCATCCCCACCACTAATGCGATTACGTCACTTCAAAATTGTACATAGTAAATGGGTTTTAAATTGTATAAAATAACATAGTCCTACACATGTAGTTTACGACTCCAAATTGAGTTTTTACCCGAAACGTCCAGATTTTTGAAAAAAAAATCAAAATTATAAAACAACATTTTGCAATTTAATTTCGAATCTGCTAACCCGAATGCTTTGAAACGCTGCAGATGTTTTAAGGCTATAAAGAGCATCATAAATCTTTAGTCAAAATATATTTGGTTATCCCCTCCAAAAACTTGATGACGTCAGCTCAAAAGTTTGCCGAATAAATCCTATGCAAAATGTCATCATTCCATTCAAATTTTTTCGATTTGCATATACAGGGTGATTAAAAAAAAAATGAATGCGTGAATTTATTTTATTATGTTAATCAGGAACTACAAAACCGAATGCTTTGAAATCTTGCAGATGTTTTAAGGTTATAAAGAGCATAGTAAATGTTTAGTCAAAATATATTTGCTTATCCTCTCCAAAAAATTGATGACGTCAACTCGAAAGTTTGCCGAATAAATCCTATCTAAACTGTACAAAATATGATGAATCTGTACTTGTGATTTATCACTCCATTCATACTTTTTGAATTTGCATATACTGGGTGACTCAAAAAAATTAATGAATGCGTTAATTTATTTTATTGATTTACTCAGGAACCACAAAACCGAATGCTTTGAAATCCTGAAGATGTTTTAAAGTTATCATAAGCATGGTAAGTTTTTGATCAAAACGTATTTGCTCATCCCCCCTAAAAAATTTATGACGTCACCACAAAATTTTGCTGAATAAATCCTATCTAAAATGTACAAAATATGATGAGTCTCTTCTTGTGATTTATCATTCGATTCATATTTTTTGGATTTGCATATACAGGGTGACCCAAAAAAATGAATGAATGCGTAAATGTATTTTATTGATTTAATCAGGAACTACAGAACCGAATATTTTGAAATCTTGCAGATGTTTTAAGGTTATAAAAAGCATACTAAATTTTTAGTCAAAATATATTTGGTTATCTTCTCCAAAAAACTGATGACGTCAGCTCAAAAGTTTGCCAAATAAATCCTATCTAGAATGTACAAAATATGAAGAGTCTGTACTTGTAATTTATCATTCCATTCATATTTTTTGAATTTGCATATACCGGGTGACTTAAAAAAAAATGAATGCGTAAATTTATTATATTGATTTACTCAGGAATTACAAAACCGAATGCTTTGAAATCTACTGCGAAAAAAAACATAATAGGCATGCAGTCGTCACGTTTCCGACAACGAGGGAAGTACTGTCTAAACTCTTTAGACCAATTTTTTCTTAAGTATGACATTATATATAACACACTTCTTAACTTCTCACTTGAGATTGCTAATAATTTATGTATGGCATTTAAACTGATCTAAACGTTGGTTCATTTTGAGAGAAACGACTTTGAAAATTTGCGGTTAAACTCATATCCTCTCGGAATCGAAACACGAGAGGGGTTTAATAATATTTTTGAGGCTTGAATTGAATATTTATTTCTGGGACTAGCTGATTTTGATCGTATTGAATGTGTTTTTTTGTTGTATGTGATGTGGGGGTTGCGGTCCGATTTGTTATGATTAATAACTTGAAATAACACATGATTTAACATCGTGTGACTTCTTTATCGTTTAAAAATGTTGATACAGTCTTCTTGTTTAAAACTTTTGGTAAAGTGTGATGTAATTTAGCATCATGTAAATTCTTTGTTGCTTCAAATTCTTGAGTGTGGTGGAAATAACTTAAGTAATTTTAATACTCATTCAGTCATCGTTATAAATTCGAGAGAGATAGAATTTGAACTTAATTGATATAAAAGGGCGCATATTCACGTGGCGAAAGCGGAACACACGGTCTCTAGTTAAAGTCTGCGGTTTTGTCATTGCCTAAATATATGTTGAAACTGAGACATGGAGAGACCCGCATAGGCATGTAATGTTCAGCTTGGTTTAGTAGCTGGCTAGTTTGCGCAACCTGGGTAAGGAGAATAATATGTGGCAGGTTTTTTGCATAGAAATGGATTGTGTGTTACACCTGTCTACAGAGTATGTTAGAATGTTAGCTTATAAAAAGTGTTTGGGGATTTTTGTGGGAAAAGGTTGGCAGAGGTGGAGAGAGGGAGAGAGAGAGCGGGAGCGCTGGAAGGTGAGCGTGGGTTTCGGAGGAATAAAGTTTGTTTTTTTTTGTGTTTTGCTGTGGTGTTTTTCTTCTAAGGTAAATTACCGGAGAGACGTGTATTAACAAGTATAATCATTAATCATTTGCTTTAATTCAGATTTGTCTTTCTCTCGTGTTTTAAATTTGTGATATTCAAAGATTTGCATGGATTCGGAAAGTTTGATTTGATTTTATTTCGAAAGCTAGACATTTTTTTTTGTAGCTGAGAACTAAAGGGTCTACAATCTACCCAGAGTGCACTTGGTAACAGCTTTTTTTGGTCAGAGTGAAGGAATAACCGATTTTCACGAAAACAAAATGTGACAACAATCGGTCCAGTAATTTCGGAGATTACTTGTCTAACAAAAATGAATACAGACACCAGACAGTTAGGCAGACGGAAACGGGAGACCACTTTTTTCGTACTCTAGAGGTCACGACACGTCGAGATACTATTAAAGTGACAATTCGCCCGATGGACTCGCTTACGCTTAGCTTACCCTCGAGAAGTAAAAATATGTAAATTCTTAATCTTCACACAACAAAGAAAATAAAACTATGTACACTGCTCTGATTTTGTAATATTAATATCATTATAATAAACTAATATTAGATAATAAACACTTAACAAAGAAGTAAGTGAGATGATTCCAGGAAGCGTTTATTAAGGCTGCATGCATTTCGTGCGGTGTCGTCGCCGGAAAGCAAAGGTGCAATAAATTCGAGAAGGCGTGTACAGCCGACAGTAGAACTGCGCGCGCAACAATTCCGCTGCCGCACTACCAACCTTTAGCATTTCTGTCCGAATGTTTTTAATCATTTGTCTGGCTGAGTTTAACAATTATTATTTAAGTAAAAATTGTCGAAGTTTGCAACTGCAATTTTACAAATTTTGTGTAAAATAATTATGTTACGTAGTGTCATCGTTTCGGAAAAGTTGATCGAAGAAGTTAAGAAGAGACCCGCGTTGTACGACGGCAGAACGCACGGAAGCGCTGACGCGAGTGTTCGGAAAGCGCACTGGGAAGAAATCACAAAGGATATTTTCAGTCAGGTTTGGGACACGTCCAGCATTAACGAAAAGGACGCTTTAGGTAAGACCGTCACTGTTATTATTCTCTAACACTTTCAACGATTGAATGTGGGAGACCACGACGTGATAAATCGTCGATATTTGATACACAGTGAGGTTATGCCGGGTTTATTTACTCTTATTTCGTATTTCTGGGCGCCTATTTTCAAATAGATGAAAACAGTCTGCATGTGTTATTTTTGTTTCTTTTTTTTGACGGAAAAATGTGTTCAAGCCTTAAATTTGGAAGTAATTCCGAAAGTAATAATAATCTTCATCTTCACACTGATAGTATACAGGGTGACAACAATTCATTATATACAGACGCGGCCAAAAATATTGGACGTCAATGTCATTCCACTGTCACAAAGTGTAAAACATCCTTTAAATATTGTAACCATTTTTTTTAGTTTTGTCATTGCGGGCATGCTGACCCTGGATGCAGTATAATGATTCATTTAAACAAACGTTAAAATGACAATAAGGCATAGATTACATCAACATTTTCAAAATGACAGAAAAATAAAATCCACGATTTTCTGGCCGCGATTGTATATTTGAATTTTTTAACTGAAATTAATTTTTGAAAGAAAATCTACTTGCTATGAATTTTCACATGCAAGAAAACCTTTAATTTTTTTTACATATATTAACAATTGCTCTGAAATTATTAGAGACAGCACTTCCCTAACCTCTAAAGCACGACCTAACATCCAGTTTCTTAGATAAATAATAAATATGATTTGTGTCTGCGAAGTATGTTGTTTTATATATTTAAGAAAAATAGGGGTGCAATACCAATAACATCAGTACTATGTTTTTGATTTAATCATATGATATCTATAATACTACTATATTGTTAACTCTTTAGATGTTGTTTTCTGTCTAAACGAATACCCCAAGCACGTCCAAGTGTCACATGTACACAAAATAGAAGCGAAAGTACGAAATGTCACAACGCATCCATTAACTTATAATGGTTGTCATAGAAAAATAAAATTCGTAATTTAACTTTGAAACTCTAAAATGAAATGCTCTGAAATCCTTCAAACGTTTTAAGGCCATCGTAATCATGGTAAATTGTTACTCAAAATTTATTCGTTTATCTCCTATCTGAAAAATACAAAATATGATGATTCTATTACTTGTGGTTTATCAATGCACTTATAGTTTTTACAAATACATAACAAAAAAAAATCCAAAAAAATTATGAGTGAGGCAATTTAGTAATTAAATCAAGAACGACTCACTCCGGAAAATTTGGAAACAAAATACTGTGATTATTAGAGTTACACTGCATAAATTAATAAATTCCATTTCCTCTTCTAAACATGTTTTAAGTTTCTTGTTGTGAAAAGAAGACTACATATATTAAGAAGAAAAGGCAAAATATAGGCCCCACCCACCCACCCTATCTTAATTGTGATGATTTTTTTTATTCGTCGTGAGCCAAGAGGGCGGACCTTAATTGCAAAATCTTTGTTTCTCTACAAAAAATTACCATGTGAAACATCTGTTTTTATTGTTGACATAGTAGGGGAGAGAGGGTTACACAGTCTTCTTTATCTCAAAATGACCTATTTTGAACAATATGATAATACTTAAAACATGTTTTGGTGAAAAATTCATCACAACTGAGATACTTCTTTGCTTTTTTTTTCTAAATATATACAGGTTTCTTTCAACACCATACTTAAAAACATGTTTTAGACGATAAGTTCTTGTAGAGAAATAAGGATTTTGCAATTAAACTCCGCCCCCGGCTTCATAAGGAATAACATCATTACAACTGAGATGGCGGTAAGTAGGCGGGCTTAAATTTTGACTTTTCTCTAGATATATGTAATGATATTTTCGTGCCAAGATATTTAAAACGTTTAATGGTAAATTTTTGTTTCGGGAAATATCGATTTTGCAGTTAAGCTCTGCCCCTTGGTCTGACAACGAATGAAAAATTCATCACATTTGAGATTGGGGTGGGTGGGCGGGGCTTAATTTTTGGCCTCTTTTTTCTTGACATATAGGGTGCCTCTTTTATTTGATACCTCTGTAACTTTTTTATTCTTAACGGTAAACTTGTAGTTCTTTCAGCAAATTTGTATCAGTTTAAAAGATCTATGTAATGGCAACCTCACATTTTAATTATTATGTCCTGTAGAACCGGAAATGAAGTCAACTTTTTTTGTGGAACAGGAGGTATATTTTTTTATAAATGGAAAGATTGATTTTTTCAATATTCTAAAATCAATACTTAAAAAGTTATACAATAAAATAGACGAAAAATTCATATTTACTGATGACCATCTAGTAGCTTGAAAAATTGACACTTATGCCATTTATTCACATAAGTAATCCTTTAAAATGATACAAATTTGCTCAAAGAATATATGTAAATAAAAAAGTTACAGAGGTTGTATCAAATAAAAGAAACACGTGGTATATAGTTTTCTTACAACAGGGTAATACTTAAAAACATGTTTCATATGGTACTTTCTTGTAGGGAAATAAGAATTTTGCAATTAAGCTTTGACTGTCGGCTCGCGACGAATAAAAATAGTTATCACAATCGAGAAAGGGGCGGGTGGGCGGGGTTTGTATTATGGTTCCTTTTGTTTTAATATGCGTACATAGTTTTCTTTTCACGACAATAAATTGAAAACATGTTTAAAAGGGTAAATTTTTAGAGAAGTGTGGGGGCGTAAAATTTACCATTTCAAACATGTTTTCAGTTTTTGTTGTGAAGATAAGACTATGTATATCAAGAAAAAGAAGCGCTACTGCTATCGACTACAGATCAAGCAAGTAATTAATGGTACTAGCTGTGTACTGGGCTCTGTCATCAAATTTTTGACAGAGGTATGTAGATGATTTTTGATTGCCGGTTTACCAATTCGACGATAATCTTGCAACGTTTGCAAGGTTTCAGAGCAGTCGTTTTTGTAGATTAAAGTTGTTGACAATTTTGGTTTTTTCCCAAAACACTTGATGTCTAGAATAAATTAATAAACCACACGCACATTATTTTATAAAATTTAAGTAACAGAATTTTTAGATGACATTTTCGATGGTGATATTCTTATACAGACAAATTTTAGTCAACGTTTTACACAATATTTCTAAAATCGACAACAAATGACATACAGATCGAAACGGACCTACTTTTTCATATTTTACAAGCTATGGAACGTCGAGAAAACCCTAGTTTGGGGATGTAAAAATCAAGTTTAATGACATGTTGAAACACATAAATTCATGTTTTCGTTGATTGGTTAGTCTGATTTCTTTGATCGGGTGGAGAGGGTTCTCCAACAATTTTATGACGTTATCCCAAAATTTTGTAAAGTAAATCCTGTTTAAATTTTCTAAAATCACGTACTTCTACTGTAATATGTATTTTTAAATTGCAGTTAAAGAAGTTCAGGTGAAGTGGAAATCTCTCAGAGATGCATATAACCGCGTAAGAAAACAAGAGAAAGAAGATCAGTTAAAAGGCGTTACAAAGAATAGGAAAAAGTACGTCTTCTATGATCAGCTTTCTTTTTTAGAACCTGTATCTAAAAGGTAAGATTAAAAAAAAGTTAGCTGCTATCACTTACTAAGCAGTTATTTCAGTGCATATAGTCCAAACGCAATTTTTCTGCCAGAAGATCGAAACGACGATAGTATGGACAATAGTAACATATCCTTTGAAAACCCCACTATTTTAAAAACAGATCAAGATATTTACGATTCCAATACTGGAATGAAACCTGGCGATGATATACTGTTAGGTCATCATGACTCTGAAGATCGCTTGTCCACAATTTTAACAGAGCTTGTTAAAATTCAGAAAGAAGATCGAGCAGATGACAGAATGGGAAACAAAAAGTTTCTTTTATCGCTTCTACCTTTTATGGAAAAACTTCCTGATGATGTAAATCTAGAAGTACGTCTTCAGCTAATGAGTATACTGCAAACTTATTCTAACGGTGAAAGTTTCATGAGATCTTAGGATAAAAAAAACGAACATTCCTGTATATTTATAGATAGGTATAGTAATTTTAGAGTGTTGGGTGAAGTTTCTTTATTGGTGCCTGAATATGCTGTTTGAAAAATAAAAACTTTTTATATATACATATAAGGATTTTTTTTTAACAATTTAGAATTAGAAAAATTCTAGTCAGTATCAAATTCAAAATCTTATAATTTGAAAAAATGTGTATGTGTTTATTTCGTTGAAGTTAGCTGCGCGCCTAAAAATTTTCAGACGCAACCAAAAATACAATTTAAAAACCATTTTTAATATTCCATATTTTAAAAAAAGTAAAACATTGTTATCTATTTTGGTGCAATGTCATGCTACCATGATGGTCGTGATTTTGATTATATGGTGAGTGCAGTGGGAGCAACACTTGGAATATTTTTTGCATCGTGAATAAAAAACCTCAAACATTTCAAAAATCGTTTAATGAAAATGACTTAAGTTAAACAAATTAGAACTTTGTAACATTTTTCAAATCGAATTTCCATTTTCTGTAAATTTTGGAGAATTGTTTTATAAATAATACAAAAAACTACGCACTGATTTATTTTGCAACTTTTGATTTATTTGCATCACTAAACCTCTTGTTTTCTATTAATCTATTTTTTGAAGCGGATCGACGTCATTGATTTTCATCAATTCTGTAGTACAATATGGTTTGTAAAAATTACCTTATAAATAAAAACAAATTTAAATGTTAATATTTTATTTTAATAAATAACAGGTCTGTAACAAATGTAAATAAACTTTGTCACAAAAAAATCACCCATTATTATCACAACTTAATATACAATAACTGCAATATATTATATATCACGATCAACATGATTTACCAAATCTGTTTCCACAAAACGCAAATAAACTTCGAAATATTAACATAACGCAAAATAAACACACCTTTCGTTAAAAAGTTAAATTATGCATTAATTATAATTACAGTAAAATAAAAAAAATTCTTAACTGATTAATAAAGCAACGAAAGAAGTGTAAAAAAACGAGAAATGTCAAAGGCACAATTCATAATTATTGCACTTCTACAGTCTTTTCTTTCTCAGATTCGTTCTTCTCTGATTCAATTTTAACTTGCTCTGTAGGATTATCTGAAGACACATTAGGACTACTTGTTGATTCTGAATTTTTATCTTTATTAAACGATCTTCTTGTACCTCGAGGCTTCCTATTATTATTTTGAAAATATCTCGGCTTTGGCTGCACAGCTTTCTTATCAGGGTCAAAAAAACAATCTAAGATGTCAAGTAACTCTTTGAGTTCAGCTTCCTTAGCGTTAGCAATCTGAAAATCGTATTTTTAAAACAATTTTACCATTTGTTGGACATATTCCTACCTCGCTTTTAAGAACTTTGTCCAAACCTTCTTTAGCACCTGTGTCGTACGCCTCTTTAAGCTTATCGTAATTAATGTTATTTTCGGCAAGAAGTCTGCGTAAATGACTTGCGTGTTGTCGCTCTGATCTGCTAGCCCGTAATAAGGCACCAAAAACGGGGCGGAAGGTGTTCTGCCTTTCAAGTAAGACCTGGAAAGAGAATAATTGTCACGACAGTTTTGAAGAATTGAAAATTTTATACTGTAGTTGCTTTGCACAAACAGTCATAATGGATCGCTCAAGATTAGCTATAGATGAGGTTTCTTTTAAAAAACAAATCGAAAGTTGAACAAAATTGTCTAGATTTGTTCACACTAGAATTCGCCATGGAAATTACTGTACTGTATACGCCAACTTTCATTTTAACTAGATAATAAATATGAAACAAGTGGGGGTGGACCTAATTCTGTGAACAATTGAAATTAGATTGTCAAAATATGTTTACTGAAAATTTGTTCCCTTGAGTAAATGATAAAAAAATAAAATTTTACAGATCAAATGTTAAATAGCGCTAATCCATGAAACCTTGATTTCTAGACTCTCGGTCGAAGCCTGACGGTCTCCAACGCAGAACAGAACTGTACAATCTACTCTACTGAATTTAATTGGGGTGTCTGTTACACTTGTATGCATACCTATGTTTAATATTCAACACTAATGAAATTGTTTTTCTCTCAACATATGGTCAGTTTATTTGCTTTTAATATCCGTTGTACGATTTTCCCCAAAACAACGTACATTTCAAATCGATTTTCGTCATCTGTCATAAAAAATGCAAACCCTTTTATTACACAAAACTTATATGTGAAGGATGCAGTCCCACTAAACTTTCATTCTTCAAGGTCAGAACGTGGTTGGTAATTGTAATTGTTAATAAATCTTTCTTCTATATCATTATTAATTGAAATTACGTTTTGGCAATTGTAACTTGAGTTATACCTACTTTTTGGTAAAATATACCAATGAGCAACTGAAAGCAGATTAACATATTAAATTTGTCCTTAATATTGATTCTAATTCGTAGTTGCAGGATTTGAAATAGAAGATGACTCAGTTATTATTCCAAATGGTTGATTTTTACATAGTTCTGATGACCTTTGTTTTAACTTACTGTAATTTTTAAATATTCTTCCATACTCTATGTAATAAATGAATCCTACTAACAATGTAGGTAAACGCTATTTCAAAATGGACCATTGAAGGCGAAAAATCATTTGTAATCCTAAGTTCATTATTAAACTATCATATATCACATAACTTGTGAAAAGCTCATGCAATAAAATAAAAAGAAATTTACAAACTGATAACTTGTATATCTACTTATCTAAAAACCTTATTTTTTTTTTTTAATTTATTTGATGTTGAGTGTAACAGATAATTTAAACATATTGTGAACTTGTATTATAAAAAAGTGTTATGTTATCTGTTATTTTAACATCAATAAAAATGTCACTAATAAAAACTTATTCTTCAATGATTAAAAAACCCCCAGTAAAAATAGTAAAATGATTTAAGACAATTACCTTGAACTGGGCTATTTCCTCTTCCTCGGCAGTTATGGGGTTAGTATATGGACAAACAAAATTGATGACTTCAGGTTCTGTGCCCGTGCTCTCTTTTTTGTCATCTAGATCCTGTCGTTCCCCTTGAGCTAAGTGGGCAGCGATTTGGTAAGATACGCGTGCTCTGTCAACTGCACTACTAAAGTCTTCATCATCTTGATTTAGAAGAACTTTTGACATAACTCGTAAACTGAACGATTTTGTTGTTCTAGCGCACTTTGCCTGTGCTATATTAAACCCGTTTGCAAAGCCCTTAACTACCTTATTGAACCTGTCAAGTAGATTGTACCTCCGCAGGACTTCCAACAACATGCCAGGGGAGGCTTTTCGAATCTCATGATAAATTAAAATAATGCCGTCAGTGGCATCACCTTGTATCTTCTCCAACCAGGTGAGAAAGTCAGTCAAGGCAGAAATGTCGCTTTTAGTCTTAACGAACTTATTGGATCGCATGTCCTTCAACATGCGATATCGCCCAGTGTTGACCACTCGAATACTGTGCTTGCGCCTATATGAAGGGTTCAAGTCGGCGAAAGGCATGATGTACTGTGAAAATTGGCTCTTCGGTGTGTAAGCGGCGATTTGACAGATTTCGTCGATTAAGCGTCGACCCGTGGTATCCACCCCCCATCCCACCAGCCGGAAGTTTCCTGTGGGAATTCCCTTCGCCTGATTCTCGAAGATACTGGGCGTGGAATTTTCATCGCCGGAATTTGAACTATCGTTTTGTACCATTCTTCTATCTGCAAAAAACAAGGAAGGTTATTCGCCATATCTCAGTTGCGGGGAAAAAATTTGTCAATATGTCTAAACATTAAACACGTGGCGTGATTTTTCCACATTTACACTGAGTACGCCCCGCCCTAAGCTGAAATTCGACAGCTTGCGGAAAGGGCCGTATTAAAAAAAATATTCCTTACCACAAAGTTAATATTTAAAAGGAAACAACTGGTTTTCTAAAGCAAAAAAAAGAGACTAGAAATTAGAATTTGGTGAGCACCCACTAGTTCATTAACTTTGAGAACATTGAATAATTTGTGGAAAATGCATTTTGCACGTGTGCACGTTAAAGAAGTGGGGGCGCGACGCAGACACACGGAAATACGTCACGTGCGCGCAATTTGAATATACTAAATTACCTCACAACTAGCGAAGCACCTCAAGTTTCAGATGACTAAAGGCTTTCAATTTGGTTTTAAGTGACAGTTCTGCTGTGAAACAAATGATTTTTTGGTAAACAAAACCATATGTTACTGTGATGAAATCAGCTGTTTGAATTAGCTGATGATGCGAGCCCATGTGTATGTCATCAAAACCAGAGACCGTCAAAAGTTTCCAATTACATGTTAAAATCAACAAAATGTTAGTGACGACATTGCTGAATTTAAAGTACTTTATTATATACTATATATGTGATAAGGGTTATGTCAATGTTCTTTCCTCCCTGGAGAGAACATTGACATAACCAAAGATATTATTTGACAGTTGCCAGACCTGATATGACGGCCATGCGCAGAACACATTTTCATTTAATTTAATGGTGAAAGATGAAAGTTGGGTAAATTTATGGTCGGTTCATGCACGAAAATTTAAGATTTAACTTACGAAAAAGTTAATTTCCTAAAATCTTACGGGACCGTTCATGCACAACCAATTTAATTTAACGTAATTTTCATTTTTTAGTATTAAATTAAATGATATGTTCTGCGCATGTCCGTCATGTCAGGTCCGGTAACTGAGAAATCTTTAGTTATGTTAACGTTCTCGCCACGGAAGAAAAATAGATCTCTAATGAGTGATGAGGGAATCCGTGAATGTTGTAAATAATTAAATACTCGCCCAGTATAACCTGTTTTTTGTCCCTAGTTTGATAATTGACAGTTTTAAAGAATGCAAATTGCGCAAGCGTCGCTGGTCATATAACCATTTAGATAAGACGTGCACGAGCGTAGGAAGTCCACTACTCTTAAGTTAAGTCAGATTAACTTAAATTAAATCTTAAATGTTCGTTCATGAACCCACCATTTGTAACTTAACTTAAAGCAGTGCAAAACCTACGTTTAACTCTTGCAGCACATCCGTGGGTGCAATAATGTAGTAAAGACAAACTTATAGACTTACATTTGTCCATTGCACTCTACAATGCAAACAAATCAAATAGGTATAAATTTTAAACTCTGGAAGCTACTATCCACAGAATACTCACGAACTACCACTAACTACTATTCAGTCGAACATAACGCAGGAAATGTAGGAATTGTGGAAAATTTAAGAACAGGTAGGATTTTCTGTGGAGAGGGGGTGTAAACAAAATAAATATATTGTCATTACGACCCCTGGTGGATGGGTCGGAGAACTACGTAGTGAAAGAATAAGGTGAAGGTTGTCTCACTTCAGGTCCCCTGGTCTACAGTAACTGTATACTAAGCTCGCTTGACATATACTTAGTAAAAACTTTTACGACTTCAGCGGCTTAAGCCAAACTACCTTTATAAGTCAAATTGGCAACTGTAAGCTTTATGTACCCAAACCGTAAGGATTATTACTGTCCATTGTTGTTATAATGGAACCGGAAAGCTTTACTAGGTATATGTCAAGTGAGTTAAGTATAAAACTGCAGAGTGTAGTCTGGATCACAAAACACTTATACTCTGGATTTGGTGTGGAACATGGAGGTAGAATGAGATGAGGGAAGATAGTCATTTTGCTTCCATGGTAAATTATCGAGACGTGATTATCACTCCTCGCTTATCACTACTATAGTGTGCCGTTACAGTATCATTCATTTTTTTGTCATCTTGTTAAGCAGTTCTGGAAAATATGAATGCATTAATAAAGATATAGAGAGGATTTATTCAGCAAAATTTTAAGATGGCATCATCACGTTTTTTGGGGAAGGAGCTAAACATAAATTTTGATTAGCGATACACGGAATCATAAAGCACAAGTACGTACATAAGTATAGTAGTTAAAAAAAATGAGATAAGCGTAAGCTGAATTCCACCTTGTTACCACTCCTTAAGAGTTTAAGTTTTAACTTTATTTATATTTTTTTAGCTAATTAAAGTATTGAACTGTTAAATAGCAGCATTTATTTTTCAAATTAAGCTTTTCCTACATCTAACTTATGCAACTCTATTTTCATAGAGTGTGTATTCAAGTCCAAGGATTGTATGAATACAAAACAAATGCTACGAAAAAATAACTTGACCCTAAAGTAAAATTATCAGAAAAAATATGCGGATGAAAAAGTGTTAGAACGAAAATTTTTAAAAAATTCGGTGTGCCCTAAATCCTAAATCACTAAAATGAACACTAGGGACATTATGGATTTTTTTTTCGAAGAAATTGCGGTGTTAATGGTTTTTTGTTTGTTTTTTTTCTCTCTGAAAGAGTGAAATGTGGCGGTGAACATATAGTTTTAACTTTGAAGGTCGTGCTTTGACATTTAATTCTTTGGCATTACAGAAATCTGTAACCATCTGTCTGTAACTTGACATTTTATAACATTTCTCATCTAGCTGTACGTAATTATTTTCTACGTTTTTTCGTGCTAGCATAAAATTTTGACTAACAATTCTTATTTTTGTACACTATTCAGCCATTTTGTCAATGGATTTTGAACCTTGGTCTCTGGTTTGAACTTCAACATGAATTTATGTTTTCAGGTCAATGTTATGTTCGTCGACATAATTAATTGTTTTTTGTAACTTATAAATATCCTAGAACTCATACAAGATCTTCATGATCAAGTAAATATCTACCTGACTGCGACTAGTATCAGCTTGCACTTGTTGATCACATGATACCACCATGCTGGCTATTTTTTTACCTATCAAAAAATCAGCTGATACTCGACAAGTAAAAACGTCAAATTACATGCTTATGGTATTCTAATGGGCAGACTTGTGTGGTAATAGGCTATCCATATTCAATGGTTAAGTTGCTTGGGTCGCCTTTCATGCTTCCCCCCTTAACACTTTGTTTACGTAAACACGAATGACAGTACAATTTTAGCGTAATCGCTGGCAGAGGTCAAAGTTTAAAAAGCCACGCGATACAGGTATCAAATAAAACAGTATCTATGCTACAGTTTTGTAGTCGCAAAGTGCACTGTACGTTGATAAGTACTATAGAGTAGTAACATTTTACTTTCTGCTTTAACACAACAGAACTGCGATTTCATAAAAAGAAATGGGTGACTTGCGATTTGATGGACGGGTAGCTGTAGTAACTGGCGCTGGAGCCGGATTGGGAAAATCCTATGCCCTTCTGTTTGCTTCTCGAGGGGCCAAAGTCGTTGTCAACGACTTAGGGGGTGGCCGACACGGTGACGGCAGTTCTTCAAAAGCAGCTGACGCTGTTGTAGATGAAATCAGAAGAAATGGTAAAAACTTCTAACCATCGTTGATTGAAGTTTTCAAAACATTCTTTTTTAGGCGGAACGGCCGTTGCAGATTATAATTCAGTCGTTGATGGAGAGAAGATTGTGAAGACAGCTTTGGATAATTTTGGGCGTATTGATATTTTGGTTAATAATGCTGGTATTTTACGAGACAAGAGTTTTGCAAGAATATCTGACCAGGATTGGGGTATGTCTGTGTATAAATTTCGTTTTTTGATAATATGTGTGGAATTTATAGATTTGGTACATGCTGTCCATTTGAAAGGAAGTTTTAAAACAACACAAGCAGCCTTTCCAGTATTTAAAAAACAAGGCTATGGAAGAATAGTGATGACATCGTCAAATTCAGGCCTTTATGGTATGTTTTTTACATTTTTTGTTGACTGAAATTGATCAGTGATAAATGTGCAGGAAATTTTGGACAAGCAAATTATTCAGCTGCTAAGTTGGGTCTTGTTGGATTGACCAATACAATAGCAATTGAGGGAGCCAAAAACAATATTCATTGCAATGTGATAGTGCCAACGGCAGCAAGTAGATTAACTGAAGATATTCTTCCCCCAGACTTATTTGCAGAGCTAAAACCAGAATTAATTGCTCCAGTTGTCGTAAGTAAATTAATTATGTACTATTTTGTCTATTATATACTGTGCACTTAAAGTCATAGGCAAAACTTAGTGCTTTTAAACACTCAGTGTACTGCTGTACTATTGTAGATATAATAGAGCCTACTTAATAGCATGATTTGTTAAGAAACAGTTGTAACTCTGTTTGCTAAAGCTGATAGCTGTTAAACTATCAACTTCGTTAGAAAACGTGGTTGTTATTAGTAATAAAATAATTGGTCAATGTTAACTAGGCAAGGTCATTCGCATTATTTACCTGGAAATTGTACAACTGTTATCACGGCTATAAAAATACAAATATCACAGGCGTGCTTTCGATACTTCTTCACTTATTTAGTGATTTGATGATAGGCGATCTTTGGATTTCCCGTACTTGTAAATCGATTACAAAGGTGCGGTAAGCTTTAGTGTACATTTTCAGAACAGTAATCGTCACCGTAAACTCCCGGCCTTGATGTTTGCAGCCCAAGACCCGCACGCCTGTGGATTACTTAGGGGTGTCCGCGCGCTATTAATAACGCGGCTTTTTTCAATGACGGTAACTTTTTTTTCGTATAAAGACAATTCAAGAGAGTTTTAATTTCAATTTTAAACCATAGAAGCTGCTGATTTTCTCGTTGATATTTCTATATTGTAGATTGTAATAACTTTATGAGAGATCTTTCTGAAAAAAGATTGTTTTATTTTTTTATCTTATTTACTTACAACTCTCGATATTCAAAAAAATGAATCGCCTCAATATTTTGCACATGCGCATTCATTAAGATCGTTTAAAAGTATATGTATCATTTTACATACTAATATGGAGAATGAGTGAATAGCAATGTATTGTGTACAAACAAGCGTTTAGGTTCAAGTTATTAATAGTTTATGTTGTATCAATTGGAGAACTGATGTTTAAAACTGAAATGTGAATCTTTCAAATATTCTATGAGTAGTGAATAATTTCAGATTTATCGTATACAGTTTATTCGCAGATTTTATTTAACGTCATTGAAAATGATGTATGCATGTATGTTATTGTTTTTGTGTTTATGTTGGGTTTTGAAAACTAATTTAGTTATCATAGAAAATGTGTGCCAAATGATACATTTTATTAAAAGCATGTATTTGAGTGCGCAGTTTTAAAAAGGTAGCACATCACATGATCGAAAAAAGTTCTCTAGTTGGTCTTAACATTTATTTTTAAATAATAATGTTATTATAGTTATTTGATTGTAACTGTCATGCGTTGCTGTTGCCAACATCATTATTTTAAATTAAACTTAAGTATGTAGTTACTGAGTTACTCTTTCTAATATTTTAGAAGTACAGATCAAAATATATCTTTTAAATTGTTGAGACAAATACTTGTTTTTTAATTGATAACACAAATATTTTTGTGTGTAGAGTTGTCTAAGCATATTAAATGTCATTTCAACAATAAAACTAATTCGACATGTGTAAATCATTCAGTAAAGGAAAACACATTAAAAATTATATGCGTTGAAAATGAAAACCCAAAGTTGAATGTCTAGAAATTATTCCTAATAGGTATAATAAATTAAATTCGTATGTTGTTAAATGACCAGGCAGAAATAAGTCAACATGTGTTAAATTTAAAGCGGTAATAATTCCCGCTTAATAAAAAAATCTAACCAATCCAAATCCAATGTTATACCAATAAATATTTTTTGGTTAATTAAATTTCACCTCGTCGTCAATAAAGCCCGAATTATCCCAAATTCTACAAAGTATGTTTCTTACTTGTCAGTTATCCCGTTATACAATAATTGACTAGACTTTGATAACTTGTTAAGTTATTTTGCAATTTTAATAACAATTATAATGAATGGAAAAATATATTTTTACCCGTATAGATAAGAGAAGTAATTTTAAATTTAGATATTGATAAAGTACGTTGTTTGTCATAACAAAACAACTGCTTGGCAAATAACATACTTTATCTGTGTTGTATAAATATGTGAGAGATCTCTTTTCTAGCATTGTTATATGATTAAGAGATTAAATAGTACGTACCCAACGCAAAAAATAAAGTGACGGACACCTAAAGCTAAACAGGGGAAAGTGTACTATGTGTACATAAAGTTAACAATAGGGGTTGATCACTAAATCTCATATAAAGGAGCACGCATACGAACATGCCATATTAAATATTTTATTAAAATGTACTTAACACTTTGAGGCGTAGTCATCAATATTTTGAAGGCAATGGAAAGAACAGTTAAATTTTGAGTAATGGTTTATGATAATGTTAAAACTCAAGAGTAATATTTGTCCGAAATATGCAAAATATTATGACTCTATACTTGTGCTTTATCAATGCACTCATAGTTTATAGAATTACTTATACAGGGTGACTCAAAAAAAATTAATGAGTGAGTCCTTGCAAAAATATTGATGACGTTATCATAAAATTTTGTAATGAAAAAACTCACTTGAAACAAACACGTAGCACGCTTCTTTACCTTTACTTTAATAGTACATGCACATCTTTATTCTAACTTATAAGGGCAGAAATAACATTTTCTGTTAATATAGAATATTTTATAATTATAAATAACGGGAAAATTTGACCATTTACTCTCGAAACAGTTTCCTTCCGAAATTGTATTTATAACACGTGGTTTATTCCGTAAAAACTTTATTCAACAAAACATAGTATATACACTGCATAGACATAGACTGGTTACACGAGTCCTTAAAAATGGTCACTCCGCGGACGAACAGTCCTGATAACTCGTACACTCGCGAACACCCGGAGCGTTTTTCCACGGCCGGACCTGCGGGACCCCTCGGATACGCCGCTGATACTCAAGCCGACTTACTACTCGATTTGGACCTCCAAGACCCCTCGGATGCAAGGTGATACGCAAATGAGCTGTGAAGTTCGCAGATGGAAAAACTTGCCGAATCTGGCCGCTCGGGTCCTATGTAAAGGCGGCTAGAAATGCGTCGCGTGGGAGTGAAAGGGCGCACCGCCCTCTGGTAAGGGAGCGAGCGAGTACCGGGGTGCTGCGGCAGGGTAGTGGTGGTGCGTGGGCGTGACAGAGGGCGCTAGGGGTACTGATCGCGCTACAGTCTCCCCCTCAGGACCATAGGGTGCGTCCCCGCCTATTGGTCCTGCTGGATCTTTCCGGGGCGGCCTCGTCGTCGCAAGGGTTGTACCGGTGGCACGGGCTGGGTGGCTTCCTGCGTGGGAGGTTGGTACGGAACAAGGTCAGAGGCGTGATAGAGCCCTAGCACTACATCGGGCTGTTGGTGGGCGGCGATCTCGTAGCTCGTGGGGCCGTGCCTTCGTAAGACCACGTATGGTCCGTCTTGCTTGGGGGCGAATTTTGACGTGAACCCCTGGGAGGCCTTACTCAATCGGTGTGTTTTGACTAACACCAAATCTCCGGGGGCATAAGCGGTGCTTGTTTTTCGGTGACGGTCCTGGTCGCGTTTTCGCCGGTCTTGCTCGGACTCGTGTATTTCCCGAGCTCGTTTCAAGGTTTCGTCCAAGGTGAGTAACAGCGGTGTGGCCTCTGGTACGAAGTTCTCGCGGAGGGTGATTGCGCGGAGGTCGTGCGTGACGTCATCTACGGTGCGGAGGTCTCGGCCAAACATTAGGTACGCTGGGCTGTACCCGGTGCCGCTACACCATGCGCTGTTCATGGCGAAGCGAATGGAGGGTATCTTCTCGTCCCAATTTTCGTGGGGCTGGTTGCCAATCTGTATGGCGAGCTGCGTTTTCAGGTCGCGGTTTTTTCTCTCTACGGGGTTGGCCTCGGGGTGGTATACAGGGGTGAAGCTCTGGGTGATACCTAAGCAAAAAGTAATTTTCTGCATTACCGCGCTTATGAATTGGGTCCCATTGTCGCTCACGATACGACGGGGAATACCGTATTGGAGGAACACCTCCGTTACCAAGGTGGTGGCGCAGGCTTCGGCGCTAGCTTCAGCCAAAGTGAAGAGTTCTACCCATCTGGTTGCATAGTCCTCTACGATGAGGACCCATCGGTGGTGTTCTTTGGTTGGGGGCAGTGGGCCAAATAGGTCCACGGCCAGTACTTCCATGCGGTGTCCCATTGCTGGGGTTTGTAGTAGGCCAGCGGGCTTCAGATTTGGGGCTTTGTAGCGTTGGCAGTCGATACATCCCTTCAGGTAGTCGGTAATATATTGTCGCATACCCGTCCAATAGTATCTTCGCTTGATCCGATAGTATGTTCTTTCGACGCCATAGTGGCCGGCGGTGGGTGAGTCGTGGTACTCGGCCAGTACTCGGGGTCGTTCGTGTTTGGGGACTACTAGCTGAGCCTCCTCACTCTCTCCATCTTGAGAGTATCGGTAAAGAACCCCTTGGTTGAGTAGGTAGCCCCGAGAGGTCCACTGCTGGGAGATCTCGGCTTGGGCGTGGACCAGGTCGTCCATAATCTTCCTAATTTCTTCGTCCTTGCGCTGCTCGCTTCGTAGTTCGTTGGCTTTACGTGTGGGGAGGTCCACTTCTACGGAGTCGATGGCCACCTCGGGTAGGTGGGGTCGTGACAACATGTCTGCTACTACGTTGGCCTTACCGGGCGTATATTCGATGGTCAGGTGGTACGGCTGCAGCTGCAGTGCCCACCTCGCTAGACGTCCGGTCGGTGTCTTTAATGTCATCAGCCATCGGAGGGGCTGATGGTCGGTGATGACCACGGTTGAGGATTCTTCTAGATACCCACGGAATCTTCGCACGGCCCAGACAATGGCGAGGGCTTCGCGCTCCGTGGTGGTGTAATTCTGTTCGTGGTTTGTGAGCAGGCGGCTTGCGTACTCGATCGGGCGCTCCTCCGGGCCCTCCCCCTGGAGTAGAGCCGCTCCTAGGGCGTAAGCGCTTGCGTCCGTACGCAAGACAAACGGTTCTTCGGGGTTGGCTTGTCGTAGGATGGGGGCGTCGGCCAATCGCTGCTTCAGTTCCTCGAACGCTTCTTGGTGGGCGGAGTTCCATTGCCATGTGGCATCTTTCTTTAGGAGGGAGCAGAGGGGTTTAGCGACCGTGGCGAAGGCGGTGATGAATCGCCTGAACCATGAACACGTTTGGATGAAGGATTGCAGTTGCTTGACGTTTCGGGGCGCCGCCATCTGCGTAACGGCGTGTACCTTATTGGGATCCGCTGCGATTCCGGCGGGAGACAAGACGTGCCCTAGATATCGCACCTCGCGACATCCAAATTGGCATTTCTCGCGGTTGACCCGGAGTTTGAACGTGCGGAGCCTTCCGAAGACCTCCCTCAGGTGCTCCAGGTGGCTTTCTTCGTCAGCGGAGATGACGATTAGGTCGTCCAAGTAGGCCAACAGCGTAAGGTTAGGTAACCCAGACTTGAACCGGTCCATGAGGCGCTGGAACGACGCTGGGGCGTTTCGTAAGCCGAAGGGCAGTCGCCGGAAGCGAAACAACCCGAAGGGGCAGATAAAAGCTGTCTTGTCCCGGTCCTCTGGTCGCATTTGGATCTGCCAGTATCCGGCCTGGAGGTCAAGGGTGCTCATGCAACCAATGGGGCCGACGGAGTGCAGGAGATCGTCTAGCCTCGGCAGTGGGTAGGCGTCTGGGCGAGTGACGGCGTTCAGCTTCCGATAGTCGACGCACGGTCGCACGGAGCCGTCTTTCTTAGGGATGAGGACGATGGGGGCTGCCCAAGGGCTATCGCATTCCTCTATTACTTGAGCCTGGATCATCTTCTCCACTTCCTCCTTGAGCAATTGCTTTTTCGTGGCGTTCAGCTGATAAGGAGGCACCGCGATCGGGGCGTGGTCGCCTGTGTCGATGCGATGCTCGGCGTATGGGGTAGGCGGGCCGTGCGCCTCAAAAGCGTCGGCGAAGTCATCCACCAAGTCGTCAAACTTCGCGCGGGTCGGTTCGGTGAACCCGGTGCCTTCGTTGGCTTGCAGGTGCAGAGATGTTATGAACAGTCGCCGGGGCCCGTCGGGGAAGAGGCCCATCTCGTATTCGTCCATTTCGCCCGTCGTCATCGCGGTCTCCGCGTCTTCCCACATGTGTTCCGTCGCGTACGGAGCCTGATACGTGGTCCATATGCCGTGGGGGGTTACCAGTCCCTTGGAGGTATCGCGTTTCGGCGGTGCTGGTGGCGGGGGCCCGTAGCCTTCTTCGATGTCTCCCTCTTCCATGGGTTCCGATTGTGTGATTCGAACTTCTTTTATGGTCGTGGGAACTCCTTTTCTGGCGGGCGCCTCGGCTCCGTCGACGTCGACGAACGGGTAGGTCCGCGTGATGTCGCCGCCAAAATAGAACCGTCGTCTCGCCAAGTCGGGGATGATTCTCGCGTCCTCTATGAAGTCCGCGCCCAGCAGGGTGCGGGTGTTGCAAGAGTCGGACAACACGATGAAGGTGGTTTCTACGTGTCGTCCTTGTACGCCTACCTTGGTCGTGACGGCCGGCACCTGCAGGTGCTTGCTCGTGCCGTCTGCAAGGGTGGCGATCACGTTTTCCGTCCTTGCTTTGTGTCCCGTTTTTATCAGGTGGCGGTACAATGTAGCGCTGGCCACGCTATTGCACGCGGCCGTATCGAGGTAGCCGGTGCCTTCTTCTCCGGCGATTTTTATGTGGATTGCCGGGCGGGACCGTGGTTGGATCGTGCCGGACCTCAGCGCACAGAATGCCATGTTGCGTGCGGGTTGGCTGGCGTCGGTCGTGTTACAGGTGGGGCAATTTCTTCTAAACACCCCCGGGGCGTTGCAACCGTAACAACGCACTGGCTCAGCGGGCGTCCGGGTTGCCGGTCCGGGAGCTGGGGCAGGTCCTCGTGGTCTCCGGCGGCAAGCGGTTGTGTCGTGGCCAAAAGCTCTGCAGACGTCACAGCGGAGTCTGGGGCCGCGACTTCGGTTTTCGTCTGCTTTGGGGCCCTTACCATTTGGTTTCGCGTGCGAGTTTTTCCCTTCTCGCTCGCTCTCTTCGACGGCGCGGGCCTTGTGGAGGAGATCTGCGAAGGTGTCCACTTCCGTACGGGCGATGCGGTCTCTAAGTCTACGTCGCAGCAGTCCGTAGAGGATATCCATCTGCCACTGTTCGTCCAGCTGCCGGGACATCCGCGACAGCCGTTCGCGTTGGCGCGTGATGTACGCGTCGGTGGAGACCTCGTCCCCCTGAGGTTCGTTGAATATCTCCTTGAACAGGCGGTGGTTCGGGGCCCTCGGGGCGAAGGCGTCCCTGATTAGTTGGACTGCGGCTGGCCATGTGTTGACGGAATTCCTTACTCCGTTCCACCACGTCAGCGCTTCCTCGCGTAGCAGGATCGGTAGAGTTTCTAGGGCGTCTTCGTCACTAATTTTCTCCAACCTCTTGTACAGGCTCGCGGTTGTAATAAATTCCTCTACACTCGAGGCGTTGCGGGAGCCGTCGAACCGGGCCGGGCAATGGCTGAAGTGTCTCGTCCCTGAAGATGGGTGCAGATCGGCTTCTCGGGGCCTCGCGACATCCCTGATGCCGTTTATCAGTTCGTTGAATTGTTCTGCGGACATTTGAATCGTCATCCCGATGTTGGTTCGCGGACTTCTTCGCGTCGGAATCTTCGTTTTTCGCGAAATTGTGGTCGGTTTCGGGCCGCTTCGTTGGGCGTCACTTTTTATAACAGACGCCTTCTTCGTGCCACTAAGTTGGGCGCCACTTTTTATAACACGTGGTTTATTCCGTAAAAACTTTATTCAACAAAACATAGTATATACACTGCATAGACATAGACTGGTTACACGAGTCCTTAAAAATGGTCACTCCGCGGACGAACAGTCCTGATAACTCGTACACTCGCGAACACCCGGAGCGTTTTTCCACGGCCGGACCTGCGGGACCCCTCGGATACGCCGCTGATACTCAAGCCGACTTACTACTCGATTTGGACCTCCAAGACCCCTCGGATGCAAGGTGATACGCAAATGAGCTGTGAAGTTCGCAGATGGAAAAACTTGCCGAATCTGGCCGCTCGGGTCCTATGTAAAGGCGGCTAGAAATGCGTCGCGTGGGAGTGAAAGGGCGCACCGCCCTCTGGTAAGGGAGCGAGCGAGTACCGGGGTGCTGCGGCAGGGTAGTGGTGGTGCGTGGGCGTGACAGAGGGCGCTAGGGGTACTGATCGCGCTACATATTAATTTTTTTTATGCTCTGTCTATAAACAAACAATGCATTATTTTTAGGCTTATCTTTGTCACGAAAGCTGCCCCGAAAATGGCGCCGTAATTGAATCGGCAGCTGGGTGGGCAGGAAAATGCCAAATAATTCGTGCAAATGGTAGCCTTCTGCGCACTAAAATCACCGATGGCGTCTCTGTGGAAAACGTACGCGATAACTGGCAACAAGTCACTTCAATGACAGGCGCTGAGATTTTAGCCTCAATCCAAGACGCTACAGGTGCTTTGATGACGTCTCTGGATAATTTGAGGTCAGGAGATGTAAAAAAAGAAGAAATGGACGTCTTCGAGTTTACAGAAAAGGATACAATTTTATATGCTCTTGGAAGTGGGTAGTGTCTTGAAGTTTTGAACTTCCTTGACAAACTTTTTTTTCAGCTGGAGCATCTACAAAGAAAGATAACGAAATGAGATTTTTGTATGAAAATGATGAAAACTTTACCCCCTTACCTACATTCTATATATTGCCTGGAATGCAGGCAATGTTTGCATCCTCACAACTTGAGTCGGCTATACCCGGTAAAACGATTAGCTTAGCGCAAGTCCTGCATGGAGAGCAGTACATAGAATTTTTGGGGGAAGTACCAACTGAAGGAAAATTGATTTCAAAGACGAATATTGTTGAAGTTCTTGATAAAGGATCAGGAGCGGCTATTGTACAAGATGGTATGGTATGAAGTGTCACATTTAATTTAAAAATCTATGATGTATAATTTTTTGCAGTTGAAACTTTTAACGATAAAGGAGAATTGATTATTCGCAACCAAACGGTAACTTTCGTGGTAGGTGCTGGTAACTTTGGTGGACCACGAACTGGTACAAAAATCGTACCATGTCAATCGAAACCCAGTAGACAACCAGATGTTAGCATCAGCGAAAAAACCAGCGTTGATCAAGCGGCGTTGTATAGGCTGTCTGGAGATCGCAATCCACTGCATATTGATCCTAATATGGCTTTGGTTGCTGGATTTAAAGAACCAATTTTACATGGATTGTGTACTTTGGGATTCTCTGTTAGAATACTTGTTAGAGCGTTTGCTGGAGGAGATTCGTCTTTGGTCAAAGCAGTTAAGGTAAGTTAATTTATATAGTTCTTATTTAGTGTATATTAAAAAAGTATATATTTTCCAAGGTTATAAATTTTAAATATTACAAAAATATTTCATGAATTGAAACTTAAAAGCAATTCATATTTGTGTATTTTATACATATACACGTGTTCAAAGGTTAAAGTTTGCTAGATAATTGTAGTTAGCGTATCAGATAATAAAGTGCTGACTTTTTACGGGTATTTGAAATGCTTGAAAGTTGTTGAGATCTCTCTGTTTTTGATCTCTACCACTTTAAAGTATGTAGTATTGTTTTCCCAGGAGTTCAAGAAGAAAATATATGCTATACAAGGTGTAGAAAAGCAATATTCAAATCAAATTCAGTTAATTGTCAAGTTAAATTTTAAATCTAAATGAACATAACCTTTTGATGTGTTATAAAAAAAATGGTAAAATTGAATTTTAGTTTGACTACCAAGGAGACTGGCATTTATATTTATATTTACTTTTATATTCTATCTTTTTCTTTTTTGACTGACGCTACAGATTTTAAAAGTATACGACGATTGTCATGGTCCCAGTATCAGTCTCTTTTGCACTTTCTGACTTTGTGGTACCTTTGTAGTATCAAATCAAACAATGTGTGTTCATATTGTTGTTCTGATTACTTATCAGTGTCATTATTTGTCTTTAGAACATTGAATAATTTCAAAGCAAATGGTTAACGAATTTTTATATTTATGTTGTAGGCTCGTTTTATGAAACCTGTGATACCTGGTCAAACATTAAAGGTGGACTTATGGAGAGAAAATAATAGAATCTACTTTGAAACTACAGCGGTGGAATCAAACACGGTGGTCATAGGCGGTAAGTAAGACATTTCACAATACTAAATTAAATTATTTAAAACGAAACTAGGCAGATTAAACAGTCAATTTACTGAGTTTTGACTATAAACGATGCAATTTTGAAATAATTAATTAATAATAAATAATGATTTTTTACACATTTAATTAATAAAATATTTAGACGGTATATGGAATTCTAAAGATTGCAGTTGTAATCTCTCTAAACATAGATAAGGGAAATATTGTAATAAGATTGTTTACAGTCTCATGTTTTCTTGGCATTTCTTTGTTGAAAAATATGCACTAACATGCATTGTGCTGCAATATATATATTTTTTAATTTCTTATACGGGATGTTTCAAAAAAATTAATGGGCTTATTTATTTTGTCAACTGGGAACATAGTTGAATTATCGTTAGCGTTAGATTATACATATTAAAATTAAATTATTTATTGCGGTTCAGAGTTAGAGGAAAAAAAAAAGAAAATAATTCTTTGAAAATATAGATTAACAGCATTTATATTTTCATTTGTAATCTTATAAAAATAAAAACTAGAAGTATTAAAAAATATTAATGATTACATTGACAAAAGTATAAATAAAAATGAAACTTTTTGTATATTTATATGTATATCAAGTTGAACATTTTTTAGTATTCATAAGAATAAACTTAGTAACGTGATAAATGTAGAACTGCCATTTTAATTTGGCAGTTTCTTTTTTTGTATTTTACATAAAGTAGATATTGATTTATCAAAAATGGTCTGTATGAAAAAATAAGATGAATTTGCTAATTTGTATCAATGTTTATTTGTTATTAGTGACTCATGATTTTTGTTTCTAAAACTCATTGTTTTTAATAAGGTTTGTTTTAATTTTTTTTTGCTAAAGCGATATACGGAATCGTTTGCGATTTTATAATTTTGAGCGTCGTAAATAATATTGTTGGCCTCCTTTTTTCTTATTTAAGCGAAGAAAATAAAAATTTCTTATCTACTGGATTTTTAATCTTAATAAAGGGGCGAATTTGCAATTTATTAACATCGACTTACTTTTAAAGCTACGTGAAAAATTTATTTCAAATGATTGACCTCCGAGAAACACGGTGCCGATGTTTCAGCGTAAATTTATTTATTTACTGAGAACTTCCCTTGTTCGTTTTGAGGCGAACTTCACCCCTATTCTGATTGGAATTATTGTGCTTTTGAAAAAAAAAAAAACATACAGACCACAAAATTAAGAATTCTATTTGATTACATCAAGTTCTGTTTCTGTTGAACAAACTAGTATAAGAAAAATATTTTTGTTATCTTAATACATTTTCACATAGAACAAATATAATTTGATCTATTTTGAGCCAGTCAATGTGTTGAAAACGGGCACATTTGACACAATTTTTTTTTAACTTTTTTTAGAAACTTTCTAAGATTACTTCTTAAGCAACAGAAAAATCTTTAATTTTCTTGACACATATTCTGAGATTACTGAATATTAGTAGACTGTTAAATTTTCAAAAGTCTTTTGTTTAATTTTTGAGATATGTTAACAACTAGATATTGCGAACTTAACTTTTTTGAGACTACCCGTATACGTTAAGTTAAAAAGTAATTTTAATTAACGTTTTAGCGTCGTCGCGGTCTCTTATAAAAAATAATTTTTAAGGTTTATAATATTTCCCTTAGCTCTAGAGGTAAAAATACAAAATTTAACTCGAATATTATGTATAATAATAATCAAAAAGTAAAAATCGTTTCGATTTTTCTTCTCGCACAACGCACAATATTGAAAATTATACTTCCAGAGGTAACTAATTTGATTTTTTTATTTACTTCCTTGCAGTCGCTTGATTTGATTCTCGAAATTTTTGTATCTTCTCTCAATGTAGATAATGTCGATGTTACACTTTATTGTGAAGTACTGTAGAAGTGACAGCTAAATACACATTGGACTCTCTGACTGGCCTTTTTTTGCTCAGTTAATAAGTAGTTTTAAATGGATTTTTTTTTTTTGGAAGATATTTTGAGCGTGTTTTAACTATTTTGTACCATACGACATTAGGAGTACTTCTTTATTTTAATGATATTTATTATGGGTCAAGTTTGCTTGAAATGCACTATTGATGTTCTAAACTTGTTATACTTTAATCAAAATATGTAGTAAATGTTCAAAGATCAAGGGTTTTCATAATTGAACTTTGACTTGTCAGACCAGTGGAGGTTTGTTGTTCATAACGTCAGAACAATTTTACAATAGTCACTATTTCATAGATAAGAGTTGACCTTTTCATAATCAGATACGTTATCCCTAAAAGTGAATTATAATAAACTTAATCAAGACTTAAAAGATCCAACAACAGATTTTGTTTACATAATATTTTTTAATTTATTGCGAATTAATAATAAGTATAGTGAAACTATGACTGATTTAGTGATTTACAGACGATATTCATAAATACGAATATATTTTTTATGTAAATTGCGTGTGAGCTTGCGTCATTGTGGCCCGGTTTTTCTGCCCCTCCATTTTTTTTTTTCAAATAATCCCGCGTGTTGAAAGTGGAGGGAGATGTCGCGAGAACCAATAACAATCCTTGTCAAATTACATAACCTTCAAAGTTAGTTTTCTGTTCAAAGGTTTATCAATATCAAGTCGTGACTTTGCGATTCTGCTTATCGTTAATTTTTAATCGAGGAAACTTGAAGCATTGTTTAGTTGACAAAACACATTTTAGGAGCATACGTCGATTTGACTTCAGTCCAAGTAGTTGAACCAACAATGGGATCCGCAACGGCTTTGGAAAGTGATGCCATTTTCCAGTTCATCATTGATCAGGTTAAGGCAGATCCAAACAAGGCGAAATCTATTGGTGGGGTATTCCTGTACAAAATAACCAAAAATGGAAAAGAAGCGAAACAATGGAGTGAGTACTGAATTTACCGTTTTTGTTTATTTTATTACAATAATGATACATAGCTATGGACTTGAAAAATGCAAAGGTATATGAAGGGGCACCAGAAGGAAAACCAAGTACCACACTGACGATTGCTGATGAAGATTTCATGCTAATGGCCCAAGGAAAATTGCAACCTCAAGCAGCTTTCATGAAAGGAAAACTAAAAATTACAGGAAATATTATGTTGGCACAGAAATTGGCACCAATACTAAAGGCCAATGCAAAACTGTAATTTAATAACCTCTACATATTGTACATTTTATGTACACATTCCTTTTAATTTTTGGAATTTTATTTACATGGTTTCTTCAGTGTATTATTATCCTGTTGTAATTGTTATGTATGGATTTAAGTTGGTTTTTTATTATGTTATTGTGGATGGTCAAACTTTTTATAAATATATTTCTTTAAAGAAATTTTACATGTATTCTTCCTTGCATATAACAAAACAGTTTTACTGGAACAATTGCAAGTTTTAATGAAGAAAGAAAAAATACATGATATACAACTTATTCAATTACACTTACAAAATGGAACTATAATTACATCAATATCAAAAATAAACTTTAATTTTTAATCAGAAACCTAAATTATTCTTTAGCATCACCCACTCCATCAGGGTGAATTGCAAACATAGCTTCAGATTCTGGTAAGCAAGGAGAATCATAAATTTTACACATCCGAGTTTCTCCACGACCTTTTCGCAAATACAAACGAGTAGTGGATGCGTGCGCCATAATGTTCCCCCCAATTGGTTTCTTTGGATCGGCATTGAACATAGCTGCACCATCAACTTGTGCCACCACTTGGTTTGTTATAACAACTGCGATTCCAAACTACAAAAGTATTGTGAAATATAATTATGAAGAGAATACTTTCAACATACTTCATCAGCCAAACGTAATAACATTCTTAAAAATCGTGCTAGATGCATTTGCCTTGCTGATAATTCTCCTCTTCCAGAGTAGTCTGTTCGGTACAGAGACATTGCGCTATCTACAATTAATAAGGCATATCTAGATTCCGCCATCATCGCTGATGCTTGAATGAGTAGCTGAGTTTGGTGATCAGTATTGTATGCTCGAGCAAACGCAACGTTGTCTAAGACTTCTTGACCAGACATTTTATACCTTTCAGCAACTGCTAATAAACGTTCAGGTCTGAAAGTGCCTTCTGTATCAATATATAGGCATTTTCCTTCACCACCTCCACTCTCAATTGGAAGCTGTAATTTCAGAGAATTTGGTTTTTGAATAAAGGTTTGAGTAAAAACAATATATTTTCTATCATGTGGATAAATCATGTCAGAGATCATATTGATTAAAGTAACAATAGATTAAATGGATCAATAGGTAGTATAATGACTAATGAGTAATGGGTCTTCTTAATTGTATTTTTTACAAAATTTTTAACAAATAATTAAATTCAAATTAGAAACAATTTTAACAAATAACTCTGGCACTGATATTGTTACAATTTTCTCAAACACATCTATAAAACTTTTGTATAATGCCCTTGGGTTATTATCAACAAAAATACAATACCTGGCAAGTTACTGCCAATGTGTGACAAATTTGGGTCTTTCCTGTTCTAAATTCACCAAAAATTTCTGTAATTGAACCTGTTTCAATACCACCTCCTAATAACTTGTCTAGTTCTTTAGATCCAGTAGTCAACTGTATAATCTCTGATCTTTTCTGATGAAAATCAGTAGCTGTTGTAAAACCCATGGGCACATATTTAGCTGCTTCAGTTAAGATTTTGTCAACTTTTGCTTCAGATATGCCTTTTAATGTAGTTAAACATTTCTTTGGAGTAAAAGCTACAGATTCTATTGTGTGGAAGCCTGCTTCTTCGAGTTTTTTAATATCTCCAGCTGTAATGCCATTACCCTAAAAACCGCGAAATGTAATGGGGTACCGTGCACATTCAGATTTACTTACTTCTAACTTAGATAACGGTTGAGGTCCACAGTCGTCAACATCATTTTCTACAATGGTATTTGTTGAAGCTAAACTTAAACTCATCATGCAGATACTTTAAAACACCTAAAAAAATAAATAACAGACATCAAAGAGGTTAACTATTAAAATCAAATATGTCAAATATCGAAACGGTGCCAACCTAATAAGAAAAAAAGAACTGTCACCAACCTAAATTGTAAAATAAAAAATATAATCAAAGACAGCCATGGATTTTTCAAAATTTGTTTATGATAGAATTTTCGTTTTGTCAAATTACCTTCAATTTTTGAGTTATCACAATCTGCATAATAGTTAACTACTGTGGGGTGCATAAAGGATTAAACGCTCATACATTATTGTAAACGTCGAGTTAAAAATTTAGTCAAAATGTACAGTAAATTATGGCACTCAACGTCATAATGTTGTCCCGTATTTTAAATGTTAATTCTTCAGCCAAGTGGCAAGTAGGTGATTAGTTACTTTAATAGAGATCTTTCTCACACTAAAGACTGTGACTAAAGTCTCCATGTCTGATCTAAATCAAAGAGAAGAGTATTTGAAGATAAACCAAACCACATTTATGACCAAATATTAGTCCTGTAGTAATATAGCCGATTATTTAAGGAACTATGAATACAAAAATAAAGGAAAGTAAATTTTTATTAAACCGGAGATACAAATAAATAGTATAAAAACACTTAATTTTTGTCAGTTAGGCTGAATTCAATTGTTTTTTTATGACTGGTAAATAATGATGATTTATTTAATACATGATGTTTGAAATCAGCCTATCCAGTCAATGAATAAATACAATTCTTACAAAGATTTTAACAACACCTGATAACAAGAATTACAAAAATAAAAACAGTACGTTTAAAAGCATTTGTGTATAAAGAACACAATTTATAACAATTATATTTTGACGGAACCCAAATTTGCCATAAAAAGAAATGAAAATTTCACGTGTAAGTCAGATTTTATTGGTTCAATTATTTCAGCACATAATGTAATAAATAACCACGGAATAAATTTTTTAAATACACACGGTAAGGGTAAAAAGTTGTTAATAAATTACACCAGTTATGTGAGGACCACTGGGAATGTACATTATTGTATTTATATATTGTTATTTGGTTAACATTTTATTTTGTAAACTATCTATCTGATTGTAAATTTTAAACTCAGTCTTGGCATGAATTTATCAGTGCAAGTTAAACATAGAGATACATAATACAATTCAACAAGAAATTGTGACGCATTTTCAAAAACTTGGCCACGTTTACAAATATCCGAACATTTGTATATAAGGATATGAAGTGAGATTCAGATATTTGTATCCATGTAATATAAAATCCAGCGAGTAAAAATTAATGCTCACGTAATTTTAAGCAACGTTTTACACCAACATGAACTATTTTCTAGATAAATTTCACAAAATATTAACGGAGTCAGTAAATATAGATAAAAAACCCCATAAATAATTTATTTGTTCATTAATATACTCTAAATGTTTGATAAATCTCAGCTTGTTTCAGGCACAAATATTTCTATACTTTCTACGGGCTTATTTTGAGCTTTCATAGCTTTTCGTCGTTCTTCAATCATTTGTTTCCTTTGAGCTTCGCGCTTTTTTCGAGCTTCTTCATTGACTGTGGACGTTGGTTTCACTCTATTGACTACTTTTCGAGTTTTTCCATTAGTAGAAGCTTTGCTTACAGGTTCTTGCTTGATCTACAAATTCCAATTATTTTACAACATAAAATAAAATAAAACTCTTACCTCTGTCCAATTATTGTTCTTTAACGTTTCAATTTCTTTAAATAAAGCATCCACCTGATCCACTTGGAGCATCACCATATCCCAAAATCCTTGTAAATCTTCATTGGTAGTTGGAAAAGCTTCGTTTTCACTCTATCAAAAACAATACAATTATAAACGAGAAATCTTTGTTAAACAATCTCCTTACCTGAGTAATATTATTTGTGCATAAGCCTTTGAATTGCTGCATTTTTTGCGACACCAAGAGACGGGCTTTCCCTGATGCCGAACGTATTTTTCCCACTATTTCTTCTGAGAGTTCATTGTTTTCTAAATCATGTTCTACGTTGTCTGCCAACTTTAAAAGTCGATTTGTTTCATTCTGCAGTATTTTCAAAAAGTAGTGACCGTCCTTTTCACCTGTGTGTGCAACATTTCGTTTAAAAATATGTTTTAAGAGGTACAAAAACTTTTTTATAACAAAATTCATAGATCCAAAAACTTGTTCAAAAGGAAATGTTATTACTTTTATTACACTCATCACGGAAATTTAGGAGAAATACATAACCAAGTTACACATTAAAAAAAACTGTTAGATATGATTATTTGATTGATGAGACAATTACTTTGACATTGTCAAGTATCAATTGTTATGTAATTTTTTTACAAAACATAAAAATGGACTGACGATATTGAAAGGTAGAAACAAATTCATGGGGGCGTCTAGCAGATAGTAAATGACTTCCAGTTGTTACTAAAAATAATTACATACATTACATTTTCTTTTTTTTTTTTCTTTTATCTCTACTTGTACGCATTTATTGGACTCTATCAGTGGAATTAAACATTTTATAATAATATACCGCTACTTTTTAATTCTGTACTATTTGATATATTAAAAAAAAAAGTTACATCAGCAATATATACTTGATTTTGCAGAACAAGAAATTTTAAAGTAGTTGGTCATTTTTAATGAAAGACATTGGGTTTTCGTCGGCATATCATGAGATATTTAACTTCTTTTCAGTTAAAATTAATTTGTTCTATTTCTTTGATGATATATATCCGTGGTTGTTTATATTTTTTTTCAGAGTTAAGAATAAGAAATGTCTCAGTATAACAATAGGTCTTATAATAATTATTATTATGATTTTAAGAACGGGTTGCATTTAAAGAAATACTATTCATAACATTGTTATATAAGAATAATTTACTAGCAAAATTCTCAAAGATTTAAGTGGGATTATTAAACCAAAAATTGCACTGAACTTCAGCAAATTCTCTTGTTCTCATGAATTAAAAAAAGTTTCTAAAACTTGCTTAAATATTAATTTATTTCTTAATATTTACTCCACAATTACTGTCATAAGCAAGTAAACAAAAATAAATAAATAAATGCGACTCTTTTATTTTTAGAATTCATTTCCTGACTAGTCAAACTTATAAATTAGAAATTCAGAACTCACGAATCTGTTAGATTTATCCAAGATCTTACCTGATTCTTCGGTAATTGTGGATTTGGCAATGTTATCACCTTCGCTACTCGCAATTTGCTTAGAATGTCCATTGATCTTAGATTCTTCTTTTAAAGTTGGTACAGTGCTGCTTTTCTGCATAGAATTTTCCATCCCTTTCCTCATACTAATAATAGGAAGCTGAGCTCTAAACTCAGGTCTTAGATGCCTTAAAACTGGTAAAGCGGGACTGCTAGTACTCTGTTTCATTGGTGATTCATTTGTCTCATTCTCTCCTTTACTAACATCCACTACGGAAGTGTCACTTTCCGATTCAGATTCGTGGTGTTTTTGACGCTTCATCACAAAAAATCCCTGCGCTAAAGCTCCTGGACCATACAAGCGCTCTACCCTCTGTTGAATGAAAGATTTAGTTTCGGTATTGTTTGATGAGTATTCCTTAACTGTGGACTCTAAAGTGCATTTAGTTTGGCCATTAACGGTGCTTGAAAAGCTCTTTGTTTCGTACGTAACGCACTTTTTCAAGTGTTTATGATCATAACAAGCGTCAATCGTATCTTTACTAAATAAATTAGCAGCAAAATGAGATTCGCTGTGCTTTTGAAAAGCCATGGTTTTGGTGCTCTGGTACTGTTGTGTCAAGGTGTTGTCAGTCATCTTGGGTTTTATATGAGTAGGTAAAGGAACTAGATTTGGGGGTGACAATAGATTGTTTTGGATGGAATAGGCTGGAACGTTTTTCGGTGTTAAATTGTCATGGTCAAGACGATGCGGTGATGCGTCACGTGATCGAGCAAGACGACCAGGATCGTAATTAGTTGTGGTTGAATACCCGTTGACCGTACAGGCTAAACTCAAATATGAAGGCAAATGATGTTCACTTGAAGGTGTTTTCAGGCTTGCACTTCGAAGCGTTCCACCAGATGAGGCTTCAGACCAATCTGTAATAGATTACATTAAACGTTAGGAAAAAAGACTCAAATGAGAGTTAATAAGTAACGCTATCTAGAGGCGTTTCATTAATTATTTTTATTTAAGCACTGCTCGACATCGGCGGAAACCAAAAACGTCTGTCAGCGAATTAAAAATGTATAAGAAATTCGGTGAAGCATAACCACTTAACTAAAAAATTTACATTAATGATCTCACTAATATAGATTAGCAGTTTCCGGTTTATTTATTACAATGCATAAGAGTAATTCTTGTATTGTTTGGTTCTTAAAATTAATTGAATAAATTATTACTGGGAAACAATTTCTTACTGTAGGAAACTATTACTCGGTGACAGATAAGGAGCAGTTTATAAATACATTGGTAAAAATTTTACAAAATATTAAGTGGAGTTGTGATAAATAATCGAAGGAGTTTTACATTTCGGGACCTAGAATCGAGAATTTATAAAATAAAAGAAGTGCTGTTTAAACGTAATTAAATAGAAAACGATTTTTATCTAATAAACACTACGTCGTTGACTGCTGTATAATACATGCAGGTTTGAATTTTGATACATTTTAACATATAAGATAACCAATGCTGGGAATAAAGTAGTTTTGCCTGGTATTATTCTGTAAGTACCTATTTTAACTTTTATTAATATAATCTCACTTTAAACATACGCACAGCATGCTTCTTTACATATAGTTTCATAATCCTTCCACACCTATTTTTATTTTAACTTACAGAGATTATCATAAAAAAAAATAAAATTCATAAAATCAAATTTTATAATTTATCCGAGAAACTAGATTTGTTGCATTTTAGAAAACAGGGAATCTGTCTAATTTAATGCTATAATCACTTGTTATTTATTGGTGTATTGTCAACGAGCAAAAACAAAATAATAATAAAAAATGTTTGACGTTGCAATTAAATTTGAACTGTATCTTTATCATTAAAGTGAGATTTACTTAAACCTATTGTGAAACGATGTTATCAATTGAAAAGTATGATTAAAGTTTAATTGAAATTAGTACGGTAGTTCCCGATATGGCACGTAGTCAAATTGAAATGTGAAACATTTTTATATAGGAAAAGTGATCATTTCACTTTAGGTATTGAATATGGTTATTGTTAATTTTTAGGACTTAAAAGTGTGCGCCTTATTTTTTGCTGATAGGTATCGATTTTACAAGAACCTTCACAATTTAGTTTTACCCACAAAATAATAAAAAACACTAGTCATTGCTTGGCTAACAACCTTCAAAATTCAAGAATATATGAATACTAATTCTAGCTCCAAATAATCCTATATTACTAGATTTTTACGATACCAGAAAATTTTAAATTGAGTTTTTTTGACAAACTTGTTTTTTAAAAAATACAAATCTATTACGAACAACTGCCCTTTTCTAAAGTTTGAACCATAACATAGGTGTATCACATAAAATTGAGAAGTTGTTATGATTGAAGCAGAACGATAGAACGAGTCTATTTATGGAAACACAGCCAACATTGTTCAGCTGTTACTATCCTCTCTTGAAACAAATGAATGGATGTCAATAATACGTTGTATAATGGGCTCGGTGGGTTGGAAGATGTGTTTCATTTACAGAAAATAAATATTCATTTATTACTTTTTACCTTAAATCAATTTATATAATCACGCAAAATACCACTTAAAATTTATTGAATAATAATCATGAATTTAAAAATACGTGTCTGTAGAAACAAATTTTTACGACTTGTTACAAACAATAATAATCTGCAGGCTGGAGAAATTTGAATACATTTTTGAATAAATAAGCTTTTTATCGGTATTTTGCTTGTTCAAAAGTTTATAAATCCAAAGTAAATGTATAGGTTTTTTTTCGGCAGTATCGTGTTTAGTATTTTGGTACATATTTGGTTTTGTGAAGTAAATTTATAGCAAAACATTAAATATCAAAATTATAAATTAGACACAAAAATAACGAGAACGTAAGATTTTTGTTCCAATTTTAAATATGGAGTGCATAATTATGTGTACATAACTAAGTACACAGCTGTAAAAAATTATGAAATATTGTTCCATTTATAGCTACTAGATTTGGCTGCTATAACACTGCCGTAGTGTAGATAACAAAAAGATGTAGACGTTTTTGCGTTGAAAATAATTAATAAATTCATAATAATTAGTTGGTTTTAGCAATTAAGGTAAAGAAAAACAGTTATTACAACACATCAGTTGTAAATTGCATAGATAATGAAATTAAATTTATTCATTCTAAATCTCCACTACGCTCCATTGACGACTATTTATAAGTTTTCATATTTTCAAAGTCAGTAAAGAAATACAGCACGGGAATATTTTACTTTTTTCAGTGGCTACATTCTATAAAAAATCATTTTTACCACTTTTACTTCCCGATCGTAAACTACGGAAGTGTTATAATGAAATACATTCGGTGAGTGGCTATTTTCCTGTTTTTTCGACGTTTCATGGTCCCAAGAGTTCAAAAAAATAAATCTTCCGTTTTCATTTTCATTAGAGAGATAATCTTCGAAACTACCGAACCGGTTGGCCTCAAATTCTATATTATACGCATCCCGTTACATCCCATCTAAAATGCATTAATACTTTTTTTTTACTTTATAGACTTTTAATTTTTTAAGAACCAGGTTAGAACAAAAAGAAGCAACAGTTTAGGTATGTTTAAGTATTTGGGAGATTGTTCATGTTCTCTAAAATGCACGAAAGTTTACAAGAATTCATAAATAATGTATTTTCAGTGTGTAAAGTATTAATGAGAAAAAAGTTACAATGTACATAAGTAGTATATAACTGATATACAATAAGACTCAATTATACAATAAAATACAGTATAATAAAAAAAGAGTAATAAAACAGCCCGAGAAAATAATATCCTGCCACATTTCAAATCTATTAATACTAACTCTGATGTCATGATCGCTTAAAATGTCAGAAGTGTTTTCTTTTTTAAAGCAGAATTACCTGTATTTAAATATTCCAATAAATCATTAGCTATATGTGGTGTTAAATAAGAAAATAATGGCTGAGATCCTGCAGTTCTATGAACAGGTATTATGAACTGTTAATCAGCATATACTAAATTTCTTTCCTTAGTTTCGTTTCTTGTAACCATTTTAAATTGGAATCTTCGAAACATGATTTTCTAATATCTTTTTAACGAACATTACGAAATGTAAAAAGTTGCTTAATTTCTTTAAAGAATCTTAGTTATATAATGTGCAATATACTGAAAGCGCGGGTACGGTAATATTAAAAACAAATCTCAAAATTTTTTCAGTTTAGTTTTGTAACCTTTTGACCGACAGGAACATATACTTGAGTATTTTAATTTAAGCTACATAAAACTATGGAGTTCACTAAAATGATTAAGAATCCAAACAAAGAAAATTGCAAACAGTAATATATTAGAAAATTTCTTTCTGAAACTAAACACATTTGAAATCAATTTTTAAGGTAGAACTAGTGGTACAATCTAAGGAATCATGTTTAGAAAGATCTATCACGTGAAATATAATCAATAATAGACACTAGGGCTGCTGTACTCGAGCCTCGACGAAAATCAGCCGAGTAGGATATTTATAGCTGAAATGTACTCTTTAAGTTGTTTAAGTGATTAAGAAATTAAATTGGTTGAATAATTATCACCAGTAAGTCGTTTAATTCATTAACTTCAGTTTGCTTGGGAGTGGGTATTGTATTACACATATTTTCCACAACTTAGGTGCATACAAAACTGTGTTCAAAACAGACGTTAATTAAATGTGTTAATAGCGCACATTTAAAAGATAACGAAAACGACCAAGTTATTCGGTGAAGGACAAAATTGACGTGAACACTATCATGTTTGATGGCAAAAAAATATTTTGAATTTTTGCGAAAATCTGGGGTAAAAAATCAAGGCGGATTCATGAACCACAAGTACAGGGATACGTTATTTTATAAAATTTAAAGAGAATTACCACGTAAAACTGTGACGCAACGTCATCAAATTGTTGGTGTGAATAATTAAACGAATTTTGGTTAGCGTTTTACCATTACAAACGGAAACGGGAGACCTATTTTTTGATACTGTGCTGAAACGTCGAGAAAACACGAAAATGGCCATTCGCCGGATGGATCCTATTATTACAATACTTCCATAGTTTAAGCTCGGGAAGTAAACAGGATAAATTTAACACTTAAAACAAATATTTTTTAACCAATTTATAAATAAATTTATAAAATCTGTTCCCATAGTTGTTCGTCTATGATAAACTGAAAGTAATAATCGATTTTTATGTTACGATCAACAAAAAACGTCCTCAAATTGGAGATCGACGAAAAAGGTATTTTTCTCATCGTTTTGTGCGCAAAACGGGGGAGAGAAATATAGCTTGCGTTCTTAAATGTAATGTAAAGTCGTGTTTAAATTCATGACTGCTGTTCTTAATGTGTAATGTATTTTGTTACTTATAAATACAGTTAAAACACTTAATTACAGCTGGAATTATGGCATGATAAATGAAAAGTAACTTGTCCCTGGCCTGCCCCATTTCACAATTCCAGTGTTTCCGCCAACGCTTACTTGATGCTACTTGCCGGTGATTACTATTAATTTAAAAATTTGATAAAAGAACAACATGACAGAAACAACAGTAAGAGAAAGTGCCGTTTTTATATTAAGCTTGCAGAAAATCTTCTAGGCAATGAGAAACAGGCGAAACGGTAAACGACCTAGAGATACATCCTTGTCCTTTATTGTCATACATAAACTTCAGTGTTCTCAGAGCAAGAATGCAAAAGTTACTCCTGCTATTCTTATTTTATCGGTAACACTGGCTAGGTTCCTCGTTCTTATTATTTATGCATATTTGGAATTTATCATACATTGAAAAGCAGCGTTAAAATCCCTTAAGAAATACCGCTCCAACAGGATTTTAAAATCAATATTCTCTTTCGGAAATGAGCAGATTACCGCTCTGGTTTTAATCTATCACAATCTGATTTCACGGATTATGTTAACATGTTATTATCGGTATGTAGGTACATAACAAAAAGTTGAAGTCAACCTTATTAAATTTGTACAACTCGCCTTAAATAACGGAATTGGATGTGGTTTAACCTTATTGCAACTATAGTAACGTGTTTTCAATACGAATGCTATAGGTACGTTAAAACAACAGTAAGACCAGTGTAGGCCAGCAAGTTTAAACTACAGACAAACCTGCTTTCTACAACTAGCCCTAAATACCTGTAACAGTTTATTATTACCAGAAGACACAACATAAAATTAGTTGAAACGCATACCCTCGAAAACGAATTAATTCAAAGCAAAAAGCTTTTTTAAAAGCGAGAGCACATATGCTAGCATATCAACTGTAAACTTTTCATCGCATCCTTGGATAGATCACACAGAAAACGTTCTACCTGAGAGATCAGCAGAGGCCTCTACGTCGAGGGAGCAAGTCCCGATGGAGTCCACAGATCGGTCCATCACCGTTTCGGAAGCGTTTTCATTACAAGAAGCGCAATTAGAAGGTGTGACTGTAGCGTCGGCAGAGTATTCCCGGGAGCATTTCCCCAAATCGTCGCTGCTTTCTACGTTTTCGGTCCGCCGTTTGACCGACGAACTTCTCCTGGCGACCTGTTGTCGCCTCGTCGAAAACGACGTTCGGCGTGCCTGCGCCGACGATTTTTGGGAAGCGTCTGCGGGAAGTGGTGATAGGGGAGGGTTGGGGTCGAGGGGGAGGGTACAGGGACGACGGGCCGGCAACGGTGAGGTCGGTATCCTGGTGACGCCGAGCAGAAGCACCGTAGAACGATCCTCCGGCAGGTCACTGCACCCAACATACCGTCAATCTCATAAATTACCAACACACCACGACGACGTGCAAACAGATGGGAAGCGGCAACGACGGAGGGATTGCAGTCGCAGGCGGAAGGTGAAAATAAAACGCAGATAGTGCTTAAGCGTGCTACACGGCAAACCAAAGAAGGTGCATTTGCTAGAAACTATGGCAGCTTTTTAAAAAATAATAATAAAAATAAAATATTTACAAAAAACTTGAAATAGCGATATGTGACTTTGTTATAGACATATAGATACATTTTTCTCCACAAATTTTTTCCTTTTAACTTTTTTCTTTCTCAGTTTAGAATAGTAATTTGTAGATAATTTTTCACCACCATCACCACAACTTTTTCTGTACAACACAAGAGCAGTTCATGTAATTAGATTACTTTTTAGTATTTGGGTGAAGATGTCACGATTATGTATGGAAATATCGGAACGCGGTCTTCATCACTGTTTTCAACTTTCAAAACTCTATAAGGCACGTGTGGAACATTGTCGTTTTTTCGTCGGAAATGAGACAGTAAAAGCAGCTTTCTCGACACAAACTTCTTTTGATTGTAGTTCGTTTTTCACAAAAAAGTCGACAAGGTTTCCCGCGTGACTTATAGTTTTGTAAACTGAAAGCAATGGTGAAAACTGCGTCCCGAAATTTCCATAAATAATTGAGACATTGATTTTTAAATATGATACATGTAGTATGGATGCCGCTGGCTAAAGGAAAACCGTCAGAGATGTTTAGACATTTCGACCTCGTAATGAATCCACCAGAGTCTCTTATTCGAAAGTCCACCAACGTCGCAATTTCTATCAAAATTATACGTGGCAACATAGCTTTAGTAATAATAGTAACAATTTTTTTTATCTAGACAGCAAGGGCACTAGATTTTAATTATATCAAAAACGATATAAGACAGAAAACTGACGTCAGGTAATGCAACTGTTACATATAAAACGTCCATGTTTCTCCATGTGATAGGGGATTTATTTTTAAAACGATAGATGCTGGACTTTTGAAAAAAAAAATCTAACCCAAATGAAACTTTGAATTTTAGATTGTACGGTTGGCTTCAAAGAAACGGGAAATGTCAGAAAAAGTTCTTAGACTTTGTGGAATTTAGGTTAAAAAACTGCCACTTATGTGTCAGAAATGTCAATTACTTTTTAAAAGATACTACTGTCAAATAGATATGAATTGACATAAATTGACAAATTAAATTTTCAATTGACATTGGATCAAATTTTATTTCCCATTTTTTTTTAAAGCCAACCATAAACTTGAAGTATACATTGTCTCGAGATATACATAAAGACAGATTTTAGTTTAATGAATCCTCGGTGTGATTTTTTTTGTTTTTTTTTAATTAAAAGTGGAACATTTATTATCAACAAGATCAACTTATAAATAATGATAAATTTTTACTTTTCGATTGATAGTTAAAATGTATTGTTTCTGTAACAATAGACGGTAATTTACACAACAATAGAAGCACACCATTTAATAATTTTATATAATTCCTCCATTCAATTTTACACAACTAGCAACTATAAAGCAATTTCATCTGCAAGGAAGCACTCGATACAGGTATAAAACATTAATAAAATTCAATAATCCTTCCAAAATGTCTGTGACGTGAATTTAAATAATTCAATCATAACTTTTTACATAAACAAGTGTGTTTAACATATTTGCAGTTTTAATATCGATACTTTTGGTTAGACCAGAAAATAAAACACTTGTCATTTTAATTGTAATATCTAAATAACATCAAAATTGATCTAATTTATTTGCAAAATCATAGTCAAGGTGATCCACTTGTAGTCTAGTGGTGAGATAAAAATAAACCTGACGATTAGAGTTAGTAATTTGCAATAATTAAAAAAATCAATGACATAAATAAATGCCTGGGGACACAATGATGCGCATAAATCACTTGATTTATAACTGAAATGTGAAACTACATAGCAACTTTATTGAAATTAAATTATGGTACATATTTATTGTAATGAAGCTGCATCAACTTTTAAAATGGAATAATTTTTGGTCCCTGGTAAAAAATTATTGGAGCAAAAATTATGTTAATCAGATTCGCCTCCATAAAATTGTTAATCACCATACAATATTATGCAAACACGGGTAAGTAGGCGAAAATTAGAATAATGCCAACCTATAATTCATTGACCGAAATGTACTAAAAAATAGTTTGTTGTTGTCTACTAATTAATAATATCGAATAATGACAGAAAAATGTATACATTTAAACATTTGTTTTTCACAAAAAAAAAGTCATCGTAATTTTTTTTAATCCGTTTCATAAGAATAAGAACAGAATTAATAGTAACAGTCAAATATAATTATTTTTTGAAATTATTGTCTCAATTCTGTCTACATTAAAAAAAAAATCAGGGAAACTCACAACTACACTAAAATAAACATTTACCTATGACACATTTATGTCTTTCTCCATCATGCTCAACACTAACAAAATCAAATTTATGTAACAAAGACTGTTCAGAATGGTATGGACAAGCGAGAGAAAATAGCACCACTACTTTTTATCGACTACACCGATGTTCATTGATTAAACAAAGTCACACAATATTACCAATTCAAAGTCATAATGCGTCACACATTGTCACTCGTTAGCATTGGCAAAATCAATTAATTAAAATTACAACAAAAACATGCATGCATTTAAAGAAATACCTTTTAATCCATTTACTAATGAATTTATTTAAACGGCGGCGTTTACCCATGTTCAAACGAAAATTAATACCGCAAAACTGACGGTTCATTTGTGTGGAAAATGTGTGCACATTTCCAAGCATGAATCAGGTTGAACTGATTTTAGAACGGGAGACTTAGGAATTCCCTTTTCAGTTTATTTATAGCAACCCCTTAAACTATTCCGACACTAAATGTGCAACTGCTACGAGATGATGTTTTAAGACGTGCAGCGGGATCTACTTTATTCCTAATTTGCACATGAAACCTTCGAAAAATGCAAACTGAGGCATACCCTTGGCGAAAATAATAATAAGCAATGGCAATGCACCCATTTCTGGTTTCAAAGTGGGCGAGCAAGGTAAAATTATTGTATACCTACGTGCATCTCATATTACCGGGGGAGATAACGAAATAACTTTTCTAAATTATTGCTATTATTGTCAAAAAAATACCATTCAGCAACGAAACGACAATTATATGTTACACAAGCGACTGTAACTTTACTAGGTTCTTTCTAAAAACTTACCCAGTGGAGTTTTCTGAAATCGCTGACATGTCTTTTAAATATTTCAAGTCTTGTAAATTTCCAAATTCAGCTTTCGATTAGAATAAGGTAATTTAATCACTTTGTTGTGTTTTCGGTTCGGTTAATAAATCACATGTGGCTAGTTACCATATTTAGATTGTATATAAAAAAAAAATGTAGGAAGAAATAGATCAACTTCCAACCAATCTGTGGAAAACCTAGGAATATACTAATCATGATCCAATACGTTCAGTCCATTGGATTTCACGGTGTCTCTACACCGTGGTGCAGGAAGCCAACGCAAAACCGATAAGTTCAATGAGGGGATGAGACCTTGTTGCCATTAATAATACTTTACTGAAAGGTCACCAACAGGTTTAAGCAATTAGTAAACGGTTGAATGATGATTTTTAAATACCATTTTCTACAGAAACTCACCGCTGAAGTTGAGAAATTTTATCCTCCATTAAACTTTTACTTTTTATTAGCTACATTAAATGCTACAAAAGGTTGATAGTACTATGTGTTTAATGAAATATTCGAAGTACAACAAAAATGTAGATACTGTGATGTGTTGTGGAGCGGACACTCTTTAGTTTAAGTTATTTAGAAAAACATGCGATTTAGATTCTCGTATATATGTCAGTTCTGTAACTGCAATGCGCATAGAGCAAAAGTATTGCTAAACAGCATATTCAGATTTCAAAAAAACTCCTACTTAAACAAGCTTTCATTATGCGGAAAGTCTGTATAGTTAACTTATTTATCCAACAATAAAATAAAATAGATTTCAGTGTACACGAAGAAATCGTCCAGTTACTTTTTTGTAATGGTAGGGTTCGTGAAGTAAAATTAATGAATTAATTTGAACGTATGACAGGTTTTACTATTAAGTATATTTTGTGAGTCCCGATTCAAAAAAGAACTGGTGCAATAAAGCGAAATTAAGTTAATTTTTCTTTGAATGAACTAGCTGTCAGTAACTTATTAATCTGTGACAAAAGTGTCTGTTACCTGTAAGGTTCACAACAAAATACACAGTATACAAAGTTTCTTTTTGAGCAAAGTTGAGAGTGTAATGATTTCTAGACAATGCTCTCTTACGTCCATTAGACAAAACGTAATTATGTATTTAAAAATACTGGGTCGTATAATGACAACAATAATAAAAATCGCATAATAATAATAAGCAAATTTTTATAATTACGTAGTGTTAAAACAGCGATTAGAAACCAAGGTCTAACTACTTACATACAGACTGTTAGACTTTTTGGCACTTTAATCTAAGAACTGAACTTAATAAAATTAAATGGTTACATTTTCGAAAAATTCTAGAAAGTACTTTTTTTCAAGAAGCCGAATTAATAGTCAATTTATGTTGTGTATACCGGCACGTCACCAAAACGCTTTCTCTAGTTTGTAAAAGAACTCGAAACTTACAAAAAGTAAAGGCGCTCTCATTATAAAAAAAAAGTATGTACAATGTTCAAGCATATAAGCATTAAAAAGCAAAAACAAAAAGTATAGTGCCCTACATACCAAAATGCATGCAAAAGTCACTCTATGCAGAAAAGAACGTTCCAAACTACGACTACCGGCGAACTAATAAAGAAAACATTTCTAAATGTTCTTTTTTGTTTAAAAAAAGAAATCAACCAAATAGATTTAACGAAAAACATGAGTACCTACGTCAAATGCCCCCATTATAATATGACTTACCGTGAAAAAATTATGAATTCTGTTTCTGCGAACCAAAATATGGTCGTGGGAATACTTTATCACCAACTTTAATTTCTTAATTCAATAGGGTGTGACCTAAATAACACTCACTGCAAAATAAGTTAATGTACAACCCACACGTCAAAAAAACAGGACATGTCATTTCGAAATGACAGCTACAATCTACTAGGACGGTATTGCAGGTAACGTCTGGAACAATATTAAACGTTAGACAGTTACACTAGATGTCACTCTTGCGGGAAAATAATCTAGTAACTAAAATAGTTTATTTAGGGTAAGCTAACACCGTGCTGTTGGTATTGTTCACACATTTCTTATTTTTGGCGGTGTTCAACGAACTAAAAAATATCGCTTAGTTTTATAGTTGTCTCAATAATTCATAATCATAACCAAAACCATTACAATGGATGTAGATGAATCTGTTGACATTGTACAAAGCTATTTAATATTAATAGAACAGTAAGTAGTGATGCATATTGTTTAGTTTACACATTCTTGATAATTTTAGTGTCCAACAAGTAGTGCACTTTTTTAGTGGAAACAACTTCAAACATTATCCAACCATTCGTCAAAAGTTAATTGACTGTTGCCAGCAGATTGATAATATAATTTCCTTGGAAAAAAATCATCACAATTTCGAGGTTTCATTTGGTATCCAATTATTTGTCAATTTAAAATTTTACCTTTCAGGCGTTGTGTCAACAGAAACATCAGTTGACAATGTCGTTCACCATAATAGAAAATATAATAAAAAAAGAATCCAACGATAATAAGTTCAATGAGCCGTTATCGCAATACTCATTCTTTTGCCTTAACAATAACTCTCAACGCCAAGTACCTGAAAATGAAACAATAAAAAACCTTAAAAGTCAATCAAAAAATAGTTCTATATCCACTGAGGAAATTCCCAAAGTACGTGGTATACATGACATTATTGGACACCATGATATAAAAAAAGTGTTAAAGACTTTGGTCATCTTGCCTAAAACTCAGCCACAATTATTTTACAATCGTCGCATTTGTAACAGTATTCTCCTCTATGGTCCTCCAGGAACTGGCAAAACTCACCTGACTCATGCCTTGGCAGCTGAAGCGCACGCTCATTTTTACTGCATTTCTGCCAGTGATGTTTTATCTCACTATGTAGGAGAAACGGAAAAGTATTTTAAATATTTATTAGTATGTTGTCACATACACTTCTTTTTTAGAAAAATTAAAAATGTGTTTGAAAATTTAAAAGGCAGTTGTGAATTTTCAATTTTGTTCATTGATGAAATTGACGCGCTTTGTAGAAAACGCACCGAAAATGAGCAAGAATATACTAGAAGGTATGGTAAATTGCATATGGTAAGGTTCTGAATTGTTAACTCCCTATTCTTTAGTTGCATCAGTCACATTTTGATCAGTAAAATAAATACAAAACAATTCACTTTTCAATTAACACTGTCAGACCTTACTGAACAACGTTTATATTTAATAAAAAGAAAGTAAAAAAAAAACATTTACTACTCAACATTTTAGAATTAAAACAGAATTCATGTTTCAAATGTCAAATATTGCGGACTGCACCAACATAGTTGTAATGTCTGCCACGAACTGTCCTTGGGACTTGGATTCTGCAATTGTGAGAAGGTTTCAAAAACGTATATATGTACCTTTACCTAATCAGTTAGAACGCCTGGAATTTTTCCGATTTTTGACAAATAACGTAAATTTTGAGAGCGACGTGAACGAATGCACTTTGTTGGTTCAAAGGACTGATGGTTATTCTGGTTCTGACATCTATGATGTTGTACAATCTGCCTTAACTTTTCCGCTTAACGAACTCGAAGACAATAAAATTTGGAAGTATTGTGCTGATGGGTTTTATGAGCCAGTTTCAGCAGAACAAGATTTTTCTAACGTTATTTGTTCTGAATTAGGTGACTTACCTTGTAGCTCAGTTAGAGCACGAAAAGTTCGCTTAAATGATCTTCTTAATGCTACTAATGTCGTCAGACGTACAGTAACAAAAGCTGACGTGAACAAATACGAGAGCTTTAATGGAATTTAAGCAAGGGAATGGGTAATACAATAATAGAACTAAATTCTTTTATTTAATACATTATTTTTAGATTTTCGTTATGTATACCTATATAATATGTACACATAAAAATTTAATAAATAAGCAACTTTTGCCAATTGTTACTAGAAAATTTTGCTGTGATTTAAATATCTACCGTCGAGATTGATAATTTCCTCGAATATATAATAATTTTCAGATTGATGACCGCTCAACAGAAATTGTCAACCTCGGCAAAATATAAGTTAAGTATGTATGTGTAATAGACATTAAGATAAGACACTCAATCAATTAGAAATCTGTTATACTTCATAAAGTATAACTTACATTTTAACTAAAATTACATGACAGATTTGTAATCTGCTGGCATTTAATTTCGAGTATCTCATGTCAGTTTTCATTTAATGAATAGGAATGCGTAGTTCACGTAAATACACAGCCAAAATAATAAAAAAACTTTTTAATAATAAAAAAATCTAATCACAGAAAAATTTTTGGAGTATGTTTCATATTTTTTTTTAATCTACAATAAATCTATATTATCTTATGGCTACATATTACTTTTATGACTTTGCGTAAATGCTTGTTCATATTCTCGTAACATTTGTGGTTTAGAAAATATCTGCGTTTATGTAGATCTTCATCATTCAACCTCTTTATAATGAATTATAAAAATAATACTTTGAGCTTTACATTTGCAATGCCGTTTTCCCTGACTTACCAAATAGGTAGTACGTCACGTCCCAATACAATGGTTATATTGGTGTACAATATAGTTCTAACCATTTTAATGTCAACACCAAGTATTTGTATCAACTCAACTGTTTCATTATACAAGTATTATTTGGAAACTGCTGATTACACAAACATTTTTAAAGAATTGATAAACATTTTGTTTCCACTTCTATCCGAAATTACGTTAGTTTTAATGGTCGTTGATTATCATGTGAAATACACTTTAGGCCCTAGATGTTTAGTATAACTGGGTCTAAAATTATTTTTCTACAAATACTATGAACGCTATGCCTTTACAGCTTTCATTCAAAAATTATCAATTACGAACTGTTCTTTGCATTTTTTCTTTTTAAGTCACACGGACAAATCTATTAAGCTATCTTTGGACACTACTTTGGACAAAGGTCTATTACGTACTACATCTTTCCGGTTCTGCTGCAATCGCACCATTTAATTCTTTCGAGTTTAGTTTATGCGAATAAGCAACTGGCTGAAGTGCAAATTTTTTACGTAAATGTTAAAAAACGTCACTGTCTGCTACAATTGTTATGACTCACTCAATTTGTTCGTGTAAATTTGTTCCGAATTATTTTCTACAAGCTGTTTAGGTTCGGAGTTCACAGTTTTTACATAACAACTCAACTGCCATATTATAAATCAAAGAGGTTAAGAGGTAGTAATCACATTTATATTTACTTGTGGTTCGCTACAGATATTACAAGTTATAGTTAATTACGCCAGTAAGGCCAGAGGTCGCGGTATTCTGTTCTTCAGAAAAACAAGTTATTTCTGTTTGTATCACCATCTTTTGTGAATGATTCTATAAAAATGATGAAATATGGTATAATGGAAACTCGTAACATAGTTAGGTGCAATCGAAAAGTTACATTGTATGCTTTTGATCACTGGAGCTTTACTTCATCCTTCTATACTTTCGACGAAATTGACACTAACTTTTTAAATTGACGAATGCAGTCATCCAAAAAAGAAAACAAAAGTTCAATAAGTCGAACGCTCACGAAACTCAACAATTTTGAATGTTTTCGTCCGGAAATTGATCACATTAATAATTTTAACTAAACCTTAGTAAATTGTTTTACTCAGTAATGAATTTAATTTGCAAAAAAAAATATGTATTTACTCTATGAACGCTTGAGTTTATTTACCAATATTTTCAATTTTTTTCTACGAAATGCAAGACAATAATCAGTTAAAACGGCAGTTAAAAAAATAATTATACAATTCGTGAATAGCATTTGCAATAAATATTTTTTTGACTTCTGCATATTTTGCCAATTTTACGTGACCTTTTTATATACCTCCCAACATTGGACACTGTACCAATCGTGTTGTTTGTAGTTACAACCAATAATTCGGGAGACACTAATAAAATGCACTTTATAAAAAGTTTATGGTCGTAAATAATTTCATTGTTAAGTTAACAATTATATCGTGGTCACGAAAGGCATTAGGAAGAATAACCTAAATGACCGAGAATACTCTCGTTTCATTTAACTGTTAAGTGTGAAGTTTCACTTCCACTTGAATTTCTTATTTCAAATGACTAGACAAGATTTCTTGTGGGACACTTCGTTACTATTCCGAGAATTAAAGCCAAGAATATTTTCAAATTTGTGACGTTATATTTACGCAGCCTTATCATCTCCACATTTATGATCATAGTAACTAATATAAACGTGTCATCAACACAGCACAGTAGGTACCCAATGTTGCGTTATGAATTCGAAAAAAGTTGATTTCAAAAGTTGCATTCTTTGAAAATTTTAAAAATCACGAATTTATTATTTTTGTCTAAAACATGTGTTTTAACTTTTTACAGATTCTCGAAAAATATGGAACGGGTCAAATATTGGGACTACTTTTAATTTTAACTCCTTCACCTTGCACTAGAGTATTCTAAGAAGCCAGCTATGTTATTAAAATTAAGTGAACAAATGATTTGATTTTTAGTTTTTAGATTATTAAAAATCTCATACCATTGCATAGCTTTTTGTTTAATAATTTTTTTCTTATAACGATGAACTCTATTGAAATAAACTGACACTATGCGTAGACCACGTGATGGCCTCTTTCGTTTTGAACTAAACTATACCTAATATTTAAATTAAAGTTTTCGTGATATTTAACCAGTTCCAATATTTTGACTACCCTGCCTGCATTCAACGTTTTTTCTGTCACCTGTTACTATCGAAGTTATATTCTGAATTTTTCTAAAGCACTAAAAAAGGGTCTTAAGTCGATTTCTGTAATTTGGTTTTCATGAAACACGCTTCATATTATTGTACGTACAATATATGTATCATTTTAAAGTACATATTAGGCAATTACGTACATCAAAATTTAATATTATCTTAGTTACCAATTCAGAAAACGATTAGAAGCAACGTCACGAAAGTGCAGCCGCAAAATTTCCTTTGGTTTCTCAAAAATAATTTAAAAACATGAAACGTAATGTACATTTTTCAAAATATACATAAATTATCAAATTTCGAATAAAGATCAATAAAAATAATTCTCTGTCGTACCAATCGCGATAACAGTTTAGCTTTACAATTCCAGAAAAGCTGCAACTTAAAAACTACTTACACTATCTCGGTCTTGTAAGTCATTTAATAGTGGTAATTTGGGTGGAACCGGAGGTTCCAAATCTGGAGCGCTTCCCCATTGTCCGCGACACATTATTCGATCGTCGTATAACGAAAATCTCGCCGCAGATTCTTTGGCGGCCTTGCCTCTCGTTCTTCGAACAGACGGGGGTACATCACCCGGAGTTTTAATTCTCTGTGAAGGATCTTTTAACCTCGATAAATCATTAATTGAAGAAAAAACTTCATTAAACTGCTCTAATGAACGCTGCCGAGATATACTATTTTTTCGTTTTAAAATTTGAGTTACGCCACTCGAGTTCAGAACATTGTCTTGAGATTTAACAACATTAAGAGGTAATGTAGAAGGCCGTTTGGTTTCTTCTGACAACAGAGATGTTGTAACTTCATTTTGTCCAAAACCATTGACAAGTTTCGCGTTAAGCTTTACTTGAGTCGCCCTAGAGTTTTCATCGCCGTTGTATTTCTTATTTGGAAAGAGTTTCATAAACCCATTCCATTTGAATTTTTTGGACGTTTCACTACTAGTATTTGACTGCTTCGGACTTCCATGAACGGCATTTTGAACGTATGGAATTGGTGTCGCGCGATAGTTTATTTGATAGTTTAGAAAATCATTCGTAATTAAATTTTGAAACTCGGAGCTTGTGCAATGTTTTGTTGACTTATCAATGAGAAGACTATCGCTAGATCCTGAAAGAAGATTCCTTTCCAAGCACGGATTACGACCTTGGTATGGTTGAAGAGGTGTCACACACGTTACTAATTGATTAGAATTTTTACAATGTTCTTCACTGGGAGATAATAAAGTCTCTACAGTACCTACAGATATATCAATCTGATGGTCGTGCAGGTGGTTATTATTTATTAACGGTGTCGGACTTGCTGGTGGATGCATTGAATGTAAAACGCGACCTTTCAATGAAGGCAATTCTAATAAACGTTCCACTACACATAAAGATGTCAGTCGCGCCTCGGCATCCTGAAAAAAATAAACAACCGATAAAAAATGCCATTTAAATAGTGACAACAATGTTAATTACGCACTGTTTACAAAATTGCGTCTGACTGTTACTACCATTAAAATCATCTAAAAAAATTAAAGTTGCCTTGCTTGAACTTTATTACAGGTAAGCAGTAATTAATTTTTTACTAAACTTTAAGCTGAAATTTATACATTTTCATTTTTTTTTTTCGAAAAATCTGCATGTCTGCGGTAAAAACCAACACAGATTCATAAACCACAAGTGTTGAGTATCTTATTTTATAAAATTTAAGGAAGATTTACTATTGTAACAATATTCCTACAATACATAAAAAAATTGACAACAATCGGTCCGGTAATCTCAGAGATATCTGTAATAAAAATGGACACAGACAGGAGATGATTGGCAAATGGAAACGAGGGACCTATATTTTCGTACTCTGGGGGTTATAAAACGTTGAGAAAACAGGAAAGTAGTCAGTTCGATGGATTCGAATATAATACTTCATTAGCTTACGCTCAGCAAGTAAAAATAAAAATATCGTACTGAAGCCCGGGCGATACTGCATTCCGAACAATATTTTCCAACGAGAAATTATTTAATAAATTTTTAACACACCAACAATTTTGTAAATCATTGTAAAATTTGCTGGTCCAAAATTATTTTTTTTTTAGTTAACAAAATTAAAACTTCGGTAGATTTTTTCGCCATAGATAGTGGAGTATGGAGTATGTTATCAGAGGGTTTATAGAGACATCATGTTTTCAGATGACGTCACTAATATTTCAGTGTGGATAAATAAAAATTTTTTCTTAGAATTTTTGGATGTTTTCTAATGAAATCGTCAAGAAAGATTTAATAGACAGACGGCAAAATGTGGATACTGATTTATGAGAGTAAAGTACCAGTAAAAACATTTTTAATGGTGAATAAAAAAAAAACACATTTTCTGTTAAAAAAGTTGCCGAGATTTATTCTCGAAAATAAAGAACAGAGATTATTGTTAATGAAGAAACAAAAAAAAAAGTTGTAAATGTTGTCGACGCTATCGCTTGTTACGATTAAGGTTATGACGTTATGTTGGTTTATTCATTTTATTTCCCGTTTTCTCGACATTTTATGATCCCTAGAATACGAACAAAGTGAGCTTCCGTTTCCGTCTGTGTCGGGCGTCTGTGTCGATTTTTATTATACACGTAATCTCCAAAACTACTTGACCGATTCTTGTTAAATTTTGTATGTAAAAATATATTAGGAATATCATGTAGATGGTGACTAACTAAAATTTCGCTAATCATCGCCACCAACAATTTGATGACGTTATTTCAAAGAATTCTATTTTAAATGATTTAAATGTTATAAAACAATGTACTCCTATACTTGTGGTGTACGAATCCGCTTTGAGTTTTTTTCCTAAACGTGCAAATTTTCGTAAAAACATTCACAAAGTGTAAAAACACTTCACTACCAACACGGAAGATGAGAAACTTGGCTGTTTCTTTTTTTTTTTTTTGTATTGTTTTTCTCTTGCATTGGTAATGCGCTGTGATTAGTATTATCCATGTTAACCACGTCATCACAGAATTGTTTATTGATGAAATTAAAAACAAGTCACATAAATATATTTAATAATGATAAAATAAGAATTATAATATTCAGAACGTTTTGTTCGATTGTGACAAATTCATTCAATTTAAACTACTCTCTGCGTGACATTCTTTCGATGTATTAACATAATCACAGTGGTTGGAAGTAATTCATTACTGTAATTCAATTCCTAACGTAATGAGTAATTGTAATGCATTATTTTTCAAAAAATGTAATGAGTAATTGTAACGAATTACTTTTTTTGAGTAGTTCAGTCACCTCTACAATTACTTTTCACCCAAATACTCAAAAATATTGTTTTGTTTTTCTCTACGAATCGTTTACCTAACCTGCTGGGATTATTATACCTGGTTCGTCCCCACAAAGAGAAGATTAACCCAGTAGGGAGTTAAAATCTAAAACGAGTTTAGCACAGAATTTGTTAAGAAACCAGGTACACAGGACGTAAACATATTGTGCGTTTATGGCTTTGACGTTTAAAGTACTTCGACCATTCATAAAACTTAGTAAATGCAAACCATGGCGCGTGTCAGGGATGGCCGAGACAATACCACCCTGTGCTTTTACCAGAAAAGCTCTTTTCAGGTACATTAGCAGTAAGCGGGTTTAAGATACCCCGCTGTGACGCCCTATTGAATTACAATGGGGTTTAAAATGGTGTGAAGCCATAAATGCACAAAATGTTTACGTCTACTGTAACCATACTATACATAAGCTCTTCATCATTTTAAGGGTGAGCTAAAGCATATTCCAGTATATAAACTTTTGCCCAAGTTTTTGCCAAAAGTATACGTCCGATTGTAACAAACTTTGCACCATAAGTGAGCGTAAAAAACTCTACCCGGACTGTTTTTCCGTGTTTTAAATTTTGTTGTGAGAAAAACTACAACGCGTTAAAATTGTGACGAGTATGGGATTATCTGGTTTTCGCTATTTATGGATCAATTTTAAATTTTTAAAAACGTACATTAGTAGAAATTGTATTAAAAAATCCTTTGCGCTTTACAGAAATAAAATATCTTAATAAATAATTGACTAAACAGGGGCAGAATATTTAAAATTTGTGGTAAAACAAACTTTAGCCATTTTTCTGGTCCACTCAAATCTATAAGAGATAACCGATCGAGCCTGTCCTTTTAAACCTCTCATAATCCGGCAATAAAATTTTATAAGAGTGTCCACCCTCTAAGGTTTTCTAAATTTAATCTGTACATCACAACGCCAAGTAAGATGCAATTAAAGACAGACTATTAAGTTTACATTATCTTGTAGCCCCCTTCTAAGTATTTAGGAACATCCTTTTTATTAAAGATTAAAAGATTTGCGTTCGCAGGCAATTATCGGTGGACTAATATTTACGATACATTTACACGTAGCCAATAAGATATTTTGAAATCTCCCACCAATGCAAATTTTTAGTAAAATAGATCACTGCGTTTTTCATTCTAACACGATTTTTCTTGACCCTTTGGACCCATACAACAAATATCTAAAATTGTGTCTTCATCAAATTTTTCAAAGTGCAAAAAGTAATTGTTGCAATCACTGCATAAACACTTGAAGTAAGCTTGTTATTAGTACTGACAGGACATTTTATCCCGTTTGTTATCTGCTTTAATATATTTTACGTTGTCCGTATTTGCAGTGGTGATATTTATGCCGCTGGTTTTTACTTAAAAAGGATCATCACAAAACGAAAATCGCAAAATCAAATTTTATGATTTTTTTAAAAAGCGATATTTGTCGGATTATAACTTTTGAGCAATTTTTTACGTTCATCATTAAACTATGGAAACATTGTAACAGGATTCCATCCGGCGAACAATGAATTTTTAAGTGTGTCTTTACTGGTTTTTCTGTAATGTGATAAGCCAGTTGAGAAAGACCTGTACAAGTATACATATAATGAAATAATGCGCACCGAGGTTAAATTGCGGTTTTCATTGTTTAACTAATAATGAGAATTTTACTTTTCATATAAGAATTACAAATATACTAAATAAAGTTGGAATGTTGAAATTAATTACGGTTTAAAGCACCTTTTAATTTTGTTTACTACATATTTGATTCTCACCTGGTCCCAACAATCCTCCGCTGTTTCACTTAGTAGACGAGCAGCGGCCGTATCTTTCCAAGATGGAGGCCATAAGGGCCTAGCTTTATGTCGGCTAACTAAAGTTTGCATTTGTTCTAACGTAGGATTTTCACCCGCCTCTTTATAAAATGGTGGAGAATATGGCGGGGGTTCCGAATTTTGCATATCCGTGCACCTCATTCCTAATTCCCATAAAACTAAACCAAGTGCATACACGTCGATTTGCTTTAAAGCACTTTCACAGTCTCGTAAATTAACAGCTCCTTCTAGAACTTCAGGAGCCATATATCGAAGGGTTCCTTAAAATGCACAAATACAGATTTGATCACGCAGGAGGTACTTACTACACACCCGCCTCGCTGATGGACTTGTTTTCAGCGCGTCTGGGTACTACGGCGAGACCCAAATCACATACGCAACAAGTTAAATCAGCTCGTATTAAAATGTTTCTACTGTTGATATCCCTATGGGCTATGCATGGCTTTCCCAGATCTGAATGCAAGTGAGCAAGCCCTCTAGCAACTCCTAAGCTCATTTTACTCAAAGTAACTAGATCAAGAGTGTGATTCTTTAAGTATTCTTGTAGGCATTCTTGTTCTAAACTAAGTAAAAGAAGGTAATCAGCTATTCCTCCAGGGGTCATCATGTATTCACCCCCTCCATAGCACTTTAATAAGGCCGAATTTTCACCTGAGAGTTTATACATTTCATGTTCGTTAAGAAAATAATTACGGTGATGTGCTGCGAACATTTTTACAGCAACTTCCTGGTCGTCAATTAATCCTCTCCAAACACAACCATATCTGCCTTGTCCTGGAAAGTGATTTTATCACTAAATGTAACAAAAAAAAATGGAAACTTACCAATTACGTTTAAAAGCTTCAACTTATCTAAACTATAATCAGTTGGTGGTGGTACAGAATGTTGATGACCGCTTTCCACGTCATTTTTCTTAGGTTTCTTTTTCCAAAAATAAAATGAACCAAGTAAAGCAATCATTATAATAATTATAAATGAGACTATTGCCGTTATACAAATATATGGGTTTGCAGATTTTCTTGGAACTATCTCCGTAGTTGATGGGGAAACTTCTTCAGCAGGTACGTACACATCAGTAAAATTTAAATTGCACATGTCCTCTGAACAACAACAAAACTTTGTATCGTTTCTTACTTTCGGTGGTTTGTTTTGGGCAAGGCACTGCGCCCTGTCACATTCATTAGACTTTCCAGAAGTATCCCAACAACCTGCATAATTTTATATAAACTTAGTACGTTTGCTCAAATTACAACTACAAGAAAAAATAGTTTGAGCTAGCCAGTGACAATTATGAGATTACGCAAATCTGATTATATTTATTTGCATTAGTAACGTATACGCTTCAATAAAAACTTAAGATCTATTTTAACTAAAGGTTTCACAACTCAAGTGGCTTTTAAGATGCAACATGTGGTTCTTCAGTTCTGTTAATGGTGTTATTTAAATAAGCGACAAAAAGCAAACCATAACAAGGTTTTTTAATAGTATGAACAATGTATTGCTTTGAATTTAAAATGAGACAACCAATACATCAATCTATTACGAAATAACAAAGAAATTAGCGTTCCTCCTTTCAAACAATGCCGATGCTGTAAAACATTAAAAAATAATAATAAATTTGCCGTTATGATCATTTTTTTATTATTATTAAAATGAAACTACGATTTTAAAACTGATAATAAAAATATTTCATCTAAGGTAGTTACCGTTTCGTCGTTAAGGTTTATTTACACTCTGATGTGCATAAGCTAAACTTTAGTTGTAAAATATGGCACTTTTTTCAACAGTACGAATTTTACAATTATTCTGCACTCTAAATACCGAAAAACTCAAAATCAACAAAACTTAGATAACCGTATACGTCATGTCTGCGACAGTTACACATACAATAAGCACATACTGGAATATTTACTTCTAACATGTGAACTATCACAAAGAAATAGTGATAATGCCACGATCTTTCTGATTTCTAAAATATAAAAACTGTGTTAATTATGTATATGTATTATTGTATAACTATTATAATATTGGTTATTTTTGATTCATCACTGTCATATAACTGCAGAAATGTTGTAAAAATTATTTTTTTTTATGCTATACCAAATTAAAATAAGATTTTTTTGCTTCAGGAGGGCTGGAAAAAGGCAAAATTGACAGCCTAGCCAAGAAAATTTTGTTTGGCTAGCCAGGAAAATGAATGAACTTCCATGAAAACGTTTTAAATAAATTTGCAAAACAAAGCTAAAGAAGGTGTTACTTTTAGTACAACTGTAACTGTGTGTCGCCTGGTCATATTTTCTTTCGATCCGGAAAACCCTTACTTTCGTGCCTATTTTTTACTTGTCATATTGAATACTTTTTTTGTACAATTGACAAAAAAAAATTGTAGAACGCAAAAATGTATTTCCGCGCACGGCAAATGAGGGCTTCTATGGTCACTTATTACAAATTACAACGTGTAATACGAAATATTTTTTTATGAAAAATCAGTGTGCTTTAAAATGTAAAAAAAAAACAAAAACGTTAAAACTGCAAAATTGTTATTGTTAAAACGCAGTTGAAGAAAAATTTTGTTTTAACTTGTTGGCAAAACTTCTATCAAACGATTAGAATGACTGGTGAAAACTTTTTTTTAACGTGCCAAATTATCATTTCGGGCAGTGAAGTGTAAACGTGAAGATACCTAATCTGGATTTTTTGTGTTGGTAAATTATTAAACTCCTAATTAATTTTACTGTTTAAATACATTCAGCAAATTAGTGATAACCTATAGGAAAAAACACATACATCTATGGCACATATTTTTTTAAAGTTTTTTTTTGTGATTCAATACACAAATATAGAGTGTTATTTTAATTACAAAAATCAGATCAACAAATTTGGAGGAACGTTTCGTATTAGAAAGACAGACCTATAGGTTGCCTTTGTAAAATGAAGCATATATATTTTTTGTAATATTTTTTTTCGCAACAAATGAAAATGTTTTCATTTAAATACATCTAATCTTTAGGTGACAATATATCTAGTAAATATAATATGCTATTAATTTTTTGTTTTTTTAAGTACAAGAAATTTGGACAGCATAATTTATTTATATAATTTAACTCTACTACTTTATAAAAATTGTAAACTTACCTTGTCCCATGATAGTTTTGTCTCCACTAACGGGATCTTCTTTCCATAACGTATAACAATAACGTTTCACACATGTTTCATCTGGAGATTCTGTTGAGATTTCTTCAGGACCCCCGTCTTCATTGACGTGGGTAATAGTACCAGGGGTTTTTGCACATAATATGACATCTTCTGAACTATCTTTGATTGCACTGATAAGTTGTATACACATAAAGATAATAATAAACTTTTCTATTAGTTTCATTGTTTATTCAGGTAATTGTTTTCATTATCTGAAACAATTTAATTTTCAAAACACAATCCACATGGTAATTTGTAAAAAATGTAATAATAACGTAAACATCTTTTAGAGTATATCTATTTTGAATACTCAAATCGTCACTTAAGATATCGTTTATTTCCATTTAAAAAAATGGAGAAAAAATTAACCACTCAGTAGCAAATGCGACGTATATTGATCAAATAAGAACGTATATAATTATACAAGATTTCAGATCGATTTGAAGGACCGTCATTTCATTATCAAAATATCGTAGTATTTTAAGTTCAGCACAAGCAGAAAATTGTACTTACTACAATATAAACAATAACTCACCAATAAGAGCAAAAATAGGCAATAATGACAGCGAAAAAGCAGGCACGATTTGATGTACACAGCCTCACTTAACCACAACTGTAAAAACTCTTTCAGAGCAAGTCACAAAACATATACACTTTATCAAGCGCAGACGATGATGTCTGAACTATGCTCTCATGGAATCGCTTAAATAACATTCTTTAATGTTCACTTTTTATCACAACAATCAGTCATGTCGCCGCTGTAGTCGCCGCCTTCCGTTACGTCACGTGACTGAATAAAAAAATGCTCAACACGAGCAGACGATTGTAAACTACTTCTTCTACCATGCGATGTCGCCTTCGTATAAAACTACAAATTTGCTACAATTCGATGTGGTTCTCCGCCATCTAGCGATTTTCAGTCGTATCGTAAGGTTACATAATGAGATTACAGTTGCTATGTGCTGTGCAAAATAATACTCTATGTCACTCCATGTCATGTGGGGCGTTCGCCGTACTGTTTATTGTGGACTGTATCGTGCATTAATACATATTTGCTGTACAATTTTGTATGTTATGGTATGTACGGTTTTGGTCTTCAGTGTCCGTAAGAGTATTAGAATTTGTTATGTACATTTTATGTATAGCACAGCAACAGATAAATGTCCATTTCATGTGAATGCGCTGTGCTATACACGTAGATATACAGGTCTTCTTAAAATTTGGTCATTGGGCTAAGCTAAAGCGAAATGCTAAATATAGACATCTAAATAAGGTTACATTGGGTTATAATTACCGTGAATTAACAATAAAGTGAGCCATGAGTAGTTGTTAGAGCAATTAATTAAGCAAAGAGAATTCCAAAATTTACCACATGCTATCCGTGAATCTGATTACGGTTGGCTGAAATTTTTACAAACGATTCACTTGAGTTACCGAATATTCGGATATTGTCTGTTATTTGGAAAACTATTTTTTTGAAATTTTGCCGGTATGAAGAAATGCAAGACAGACGATTTGAGGAATGTGTCTCATATCCGATATTTCTATAGAGCGGCGCAGCGGTTAATAATAGTTTCCTATGCATTGCATATGGGTTATACATAAGCCGCTTCGTCGTTAAAGTGGATTACACGATCAGTGTAATTGTCGTGATGATACCAATGCCCAAAATAAGGCCCCAGTACTAAAAAAGAAAGTTGATGTCTTATTTTTAAGTCATACGTTACGAAATTGCAAACTTTTACTTAAGCTCAAGAAAAATTGTTCCAACGTATTGCAGCTATTATTGAAAAAAATTGCTTTTCTATATTTATCAAAAACTCAACAGTGTTACTCAAGGCGTTTTTACGCAACGTAAACATCGCATGAAGATTTTGATGGAACGCGCAGAAATAGTTGGCGTTTGCATTATTTTCGATCGTTAAAAAAAATAATCATGACGAAACACGGCTATCAAAAAATTTGAGCAGAATGAAAATACATTTGATGTTAAAGGTGGTATAAGATCTTCACATCGATTTTGTTCAGGGAATTATTATTACGGTCAGATCAGGTCATATTATCAAAAAGAAGAACGAAAACTTTGAAAAATTGCTAAAAAAACACTCATTTCCAAATATTCCCACTGGATGTGTGTAGTTTTTGATAATGCGTCATACCATTCGGAAAAGTTAATAAATGTCCCACTATATATGCTACATAAAAAAACACTGACCGCATGATTATAAAAAAAACAATATTTAATAGGATCTATTCAAAGGGACAAGTGCACATTTTGTCAGTCCACCGACCGATTACTATACTTCCTTAGCTCACGCTCAGGAAGTAGAAAGAATACAAAACAGACGAAATTATAAAGCAACATATATGTGTGAATACCACTAAAGAATTGCCATTAAAGCCATTAGAAGAATTGACATATAAGTCTATAGCCTGAATTAGAAGAGAAGAGTGGGAAGCGTACGTGAAACATATGTCACAGATATAGAAGATATTCAGTTCTTGAGAGGAAAACAAATTTATCGGAAATCGTATAATGAAATAATAATTGATAAAGATACTGCAACAAATATAGCTTATCATAATATATACTTACTGTGTTACGCTATTGGAACCCCAAGGATCTACCTCGAATTGTGTATTCTTGTGTCTTGTGACCCTTGCTGTATTAGTTTTAATTGTTCTTAGTGAAGATTTGATGATTTCGTTTTTACTCTTAGTAACATTAGGTACTGTGACTTTTTTAAATTTTTATTTTGATTTTATTTAGTTGTATGCAATGTATTATTTAAGATTAATCATTACACAATTAAGTTTATACATGCATAATTTTTTTAACGGTCATTTCCCACAAATACGAGGCAATTATTTACTATTTTATTTTAAACCTTAAATACTGCAAAATTGTAATTGCAAACAAAGTTGTTGGTGACAGTTGTACTGTCTCCTTCCGCATTAATTTCCTTTCGTGTCTCGCAGAGTAACTGTAAAATAATCGAATCCTCACTACAAGTAGGGGGCGAGCTTATGAAGTATGTATAGTAGTCCGAGTGCTATAAGGTTATATGGCCATCATAAAATGATCCCATTGTGTCGAAGTTAAGTTGTTTACAATTAAAAAGGTTTTAGGGTCGTTTCGTTCGGGGGCGGCTTTCACTAAATATCTAAATCTAAGCAAGAAATGTTTAGAAAACGATTTATGGCCAACCGGTAAGCTTAGTGCGAACCACACAAAGGGGGTATTTATTTGCGGTCAACTACTTTTATGATGGTCATATAACCTTATAACTCTTGGACTACTTTACATGAAGATTACCAGCAGCAAATTAATTATTTTAATTTAAATTAAATAAAACACTAGTACATATAACTACTAAGATGGCCCCTTGAGAACACAGCTACTTTTTAAGGAAATCACCCCGATTTTCAAGGGTTAACAGAAAAGCAGAAAAATCGTGAAAAGACTCCCGTTTTTTTAGGTATTTTTTAAAATTAACATTTTTTAAATGGCCCCCTCAGAACACAACACATTTTTAATGATTTCAGTCTGGTTTTCAAGATAACTTTTAAAAAGTTAAAATTTTTAAAGAAATTGCCCGGTTTTTCCAAAACGTACCCTTTTCAAAAAAGTTAACATTTCAAGGAAAATACACCGTTTTTTCAAACAAGAATACGGTTTGGTCCAAACAAATTTCTCTTTCAAAAACACTTAAAATTCGTCTTTTATAACCTGTTTTTCTGTTGGGCTACTTCAGAACAAAAATGAATACGGTTTTAGCCTGGTTTTCAAACTAACTTGTGAAAAGATAAAATTTTTAAAGAATTTGCTCGAGTTTTCGAAGTCGCCCTTTTTTAAAAAAGTCAAAATTCGGACAAAGTCCTCATGAGCGAAGCGAATTTTAAGAAATATATCCTGCTATATCAAACGTGAATACGGTTTCGTACAAACAAATTCCCCTTTTAAAAACACTTAAAATTCGTCTTTTAACTCTGTTTTTCTGTTAGGCTACTTCAGAACAAAAATGAATACGGTTTTGCCAAAACAATTCACCTTTTAAAAACACTTGAATTTTAAAGCTTTTTTCAATTGGGTTACTTCAGCACACATATGAATACGGTTTCGTCCAAAATGAAGATTAAAAATTTATTTAAAAGAATTATGTGAGTTGGAAAATTTGGTGTATACCCACACGGTATACACTCTAGAAAGTGACCAAGTCTTTAAAGGCATTTAAAAAATATAGGAGTACATATACATATTTCAAGTATAAATTTCTTCAGTTAATGAAACTATGAAAATGATCACAGACGATTAATTAGTTTTATTATTTGATCGATAAGCCCACATTTAAAACCGAAAACTGTCAAGTCAAATTTATCAGATTTAACTAATGTATTCGAAATATCATCAAATTCATAATACATTTTATCTTTAAAAAAATATAAATTTCTATATCTGAATGCTCTGTTTATATTTGGAGGTATTCCAGCAAATAATTCTGAAATAAGGCCATTTTTCTTTGATCTAAGCAAACACTCATCAAACTCAATGTACAAGACTTTATCATAAAATATATATGTTTTTCCAGAATAAGTTCTAAATATTGCATCAATTCTTTTTCCTTTTGGTATTCCTAAATTTTCAATAGATCGAGCATTATATCCACTTTTAACATTAAAACTTGGAAAATCAATTAAATAATAAAAATTTTTAACAACTATTAAAACATCACCTGAAGGTCTTTGATAAATATGTGAAATTTCTTGAAAATCATCTGACAAAAAATATAAATAATCTTTAATTAATTTCGGTTCTTTATCATAAGTCATGTCTTTTAAATTGACCAACCAAACATATTTCTTATAAAAAATATACATATGATGATTTGCAATTAAGAATGTATCAATTTCTTTATTAAAATCACATAAATTACCAAATATATCTCTAGGCTGACCTTCAGGGGCGCTTTGCCTTACAGTAGGTTTAACTGTTGTTGTTGTTGGTATTAATTCATATTTTAATCGTTCAGGTCTTCCATATAAATATTGAATTGCCCACATATCGTCTTGAGTTAATTTATCAATATCACCTTTATAATAGGCGTACATAATTGAATTATTATTTGCAGAATGTTCAATACCTAATGTGTGACCGATTTCATGTAATAATACTGTATAAAAATTAGTTTGGCCATCAGGTGTATTGCCTGATTCCCCAAAATACCAATTTTCTGATTTATCAAAATGAATTCCTAGACATTCATCATTATTTGGAAAGAAGCCATGTGCTAAAACATTACCTTTTCCATCAAAACTGCTAGAACATATTCCTTTTTGACACCGTGAATTATGATTATGTTGAAACAGCTAACGAAAAATACCATTTAAGATCTGTTTTATTCCATTTTTGATAATAAACTCTATAAGCTGTTGGATTATCTTTGACGCCACATCTAGGTTTACTGATCAAAGCAAGTGTTTCTTGATTTAATGTTCCATCAGTTGGTAAATTATAGAATTCTTGAAACCTTATTAATGCTTCATTTATATGTGCTAGGGCTCCGCTGGTCAAAGACGTTTCTGTTTCATTATTCAATAATCGCAGATCTGAGTCTGCTTCAGGTGCTGATGCTAAATACCCAAATTGCTCTAAATAACTTGTAATATTAACGTCATCTGAACTTTTTACAGTAGTGAGAAATAAGAAAAAAAAAAAAAATTTCATTTATTAGAGTAAATTTAAATATCTTCAGAAATAATTATATTACAAAAACAATCTTCATAATCTTTAGACTTGAAGATCATATTATCT